TGCAGACATCTTGGCCAAGGCGTTTGACAGCACCCCGGTGTGGCACCATGCACTTGAGCTGATCGGTATCTCCCCCAGTCGCCAGGCGCGAGCCTGTGCCACCAGTTTGCTGCTCTCCCCATGCGCCAAGGCCGGAGAAGTTAGCGATCAGGGGGGGCAGATCGCTGCATTATGCAACGTTCAGCCCAAGCGTCTCCTTATTGAATTCTGTTGTTCGACGACCTCACGGTTGGGCGAATCAAGAGAGTCTTCAAAAGATTGCCGTGTCATTCGGGTCACAGAAGCCGAAGATGGGTGCTCCGATACGTGCAGGCAGTGGTTGAGCCGTGAAATCGCCGAATTTAGGAGCAAGAATCCTAAGGGCGCAATCATGTTTTACGTATCTTTGCCGTGCACTGGAGGTTGCCCGTGGGGTTATGTCAACCAGCAAACTCCCAAAGGTGCTGCCAAGATTGAGGGCCACATCAAGCAATTTCGATCACTGTTGAGAGGGTTCAAACGCATTCTCAATGATGTTTATTCAAATGACATTAGAGTTGCCTTTGAACTCCCTAAAGCGTGTCGTTATTGGAAATGGCCTGAACTATGGAGTTTCTTGACTATACAAGATGAACAAGTATGAATTCCATGGTTGTAAAATCGGCATCAAAGCGAGAAATGGAAAACCAATGAAAAAGCAATGGGTCGTTGCCAGCAACATGCCCACTATTTCTGTTGTTGAGTACTTCAAATGTGATGGTTCTCACGAGCATGATGAAAGCCGTGGCACCCACTTGAAGGAAGCCGAGGGATACACGTACATTTACACTGATGCCGTTCACAATGCATTCTCCGAACACGCCACCATGCAGCCGTTGCTTTCGAGTAATTGTGCTGCTTCGTTTTCGCAATGAGCGGCCAGACGGCTATGGCGCATCCCGCGAGGGATTGCGATCCGGCATGGAGGCGGTGGATGGAAAATATTATGCACCAACGGCAAGTACGACTCGAACCTCGCAGCAACAGTCAAAGGGCTTTTGGAGACGACCTCTGCACAGTCGCTTATCCATACATGGGTGCAGGACCTGCTGACACCTTTGTTAACAATTAGCGAACCTTATTTGAAGGTTGCGCAGGCACCTCGTGTGCCCGATCGTGATCTCCTCATCTATGTGACGGTCGCAGACTCTGGACTGTCAATGGTGTCCGGCAAGAAGAAGAAGCTCCGCAAATATGATTTTTCGGAACGCTTGGATTCTTCTCGCCCGGCGCGTGTCGGTGCATGGAGGTCCGAAATGCTATGGGGGAAAGGCCTGCAGCAGCTTTGCAAACGCATGGCCGCCCTCATCGACGAGGTGCGCACGGACAACCCGACGGCGACCATCGTTCCTATGATCTATTGGAACGGCAATGAGCTTGTTGGGAAGGACGGCATCGAGCCCAGTGGCACCTTCCCGTTCGACCACCCGGCCGGCGAAGCCAGCCAGTTACTGGCAGACACCAAGAGGCACCTGGCTTGGACCAGGGATTTCGCGGCCCGCAAGGGCTGCGCATGCCTTGGAGTCCTGACCGGCGCGAAAAGCTATCTCTACGGCTTCTCTATGATTTGGGACCGTTATATGACTGAAGTCCGGGACTTTATCATTGGCGACCCCAATCATATGCTCGTGTACGTAGATGCTACACCCTTCGTCGAGACCATCGACTTGCTGGACAGGTACCATATGTGCTTCAGTGACGACAACATCAAAAGACCGTCCAGTTTATGCGCGGAACCCATCATATGTTGTATATGCTTTCTATCTTGCGCCCCGCAATGGGCAGCGTAGCCGAGCTGACACGTTCGCACGACTGTACCGTGCGCCCGATCGATGTGCTCGAGCTGCGCCACCAAGAAGATTGCACGGTCAACGTTGAGGTTCTAGCGTACTGCAAGGAGACGCTTACAAAATGCGGTGTTGCTTTGTCGGAGATGATCGGGCTCCCTTTCACCAGAGAAGAAGTGGAAGTCCGGCAGCCTCTCGATTTCGCCCCTGTCAACCCAGCCGAGTTTGCAACTTCGGGTGAGCCTTCCGGTGCAGATGTTTCCGAAAGTGTTCGCCCGGCGCGAGCCGGTGCAAAGGCGGCTGCGGTGGCAATGAAGGACGAGGAGGTGAGCAGGCCGGTACCACTCGACTCCTACGGGAGGAGCGTGACAGGGGGCCATTATGACTGCTGGGTGTATAGCATTCACGATGGCGTGAAGTATGTCGAGTACGGCGAAGGCCCCAAGAGGCTCAGCATCATCAAGCAACCCTCATTCGATTACGACCCTTCTGTCAGGAGAATCAGCGATGAATACCACCGTTCCCTGACGTGCATCTCCAAGATCCTTCGTGGTCGCGGAACAGAAGGATGCGGGTATGTGATGGATGAGGACGGCTACATGGACCTCGAAGACTTGGGACTCGCGCTTCGCAAGGAGCTGCGACATCCCATTCCATGGAACATCCAGAACATCATGGATATTTTCAAGTTGGACAAGAAGCAGAGGTTCATCGGCCTTGGTTGCCCGGACGCAAGCCGGTGCGGAGACGTCCCCTGTTCTCATTGGCTTTTCAAGCTGAAGGCCTCCCAAGCCCATGAGGACTGGCTCAAGATCGACGACTCCGGCATCGCGAAGGAGTGGTATGTGAACCCGGGGACTGACCTCGGGCGCTGGGCCGGCTGGAATGTTTGCAACAATCCTCCAACTGCGCTTTACCACCGCACCGACAAGCGAAATTTCGCTAACATCATGCGGAACGGATTATTGCCAGGCGGTGGAGATCAGCATGAAACAGGCCGGCCCCACGTCTTCGCCGACGTCCCCAGCACAAGCGAACACTACGTATCAGGTGTACGCGCAGATCGACCCCTGGAGATACAAATCGATCTCAGAATGGCCATTCGCGCAGGGCTTTGCTTTTTCAAGACAGAGAGCGATGGTGTCCTCACGCGCGACAAGGTGCCCAATTACACGATTATTTCGGTATTGGACGCTACAAATGGCGATGTTTGGTACACTCGCTCCGAGCAATCGGATGCAGGTGCACCAGCTGAGGCGATTGAAGAAGAACCCCAGGGGATGAAGCGCGAACAAGCTGTGGCCGATGATCGTTCAACGGCGCTGGAACGTATTGCTACGACGCGCACAAATGTGGCCTCTCCTCGCGCCCCGCAAGGGGAAGCGAAGAGGCAGAAGACTTTCAATCCAATGGAGAATGTTGAGTTGAATGTCGCCACGTGCCCGGTTTGCAACAACAGTGTCTTCGAGGGGCAGGTGCACTGCGCATCATGTGGGCAGTTATCTCCCCTCAATCCACGCCTGTTGAAACAGCAACAACGCAATTACATCATGCAACGTTCCAACCTGTTGAAGAAGATGGGCCTCAGCACCCACGTCACAGCTCAGGTCCTTGCATCTGTGGGAACATCCGACCTTCGCGAGGAGGATCGTAACAGCATCATTCGTGGCTTGAACTCCCCGGACAGTGCCGTCATTCAGGAGGCGCGGAAAAAGCTCAAGTCCGCCCTGAAGAACGGCTACCACTCTCTACTTGACCGCTACGAACTCGATCTTCAATACAGGGTTCGTATGCTTGAGGTGGGCCGTCGGGAGGCGGACATGCTCCGCATGGAGCTGAGCGCAAATCTTGTCTTAGCTGCTCCAAAGCAGTCGCAGGCCCAGCGCACTCTGGGCGTTGGCCTTGGTTCAACGTCGGAGTCGCGAATCGCAAGGCTCGCGTACATCAAGACAGATTTGGAGTTCTTGCCCAACGAGCTGAAAGAGGCTTTGTCCTCTCGCTGGATCGTGATGTTCCAAGGGATGCCCTACAGCCCCAGAGCGTTCGTCAACGTGGTGATGGAGCAGAATAGGCCCCGCAGTATTGGTTGCTGGAACGGCATTATTCATTTGCAAGGCAACACGTTGGACGACCTCCGCAACGAGATGGACTGCATTTTTGGCCAAAATGAACGGTATGCACGGAACTCGATAGATTTTTCGAGGAACGAAAGCAGCAAACATCTTGCTCGCAATGCTGCCCGTTATGCCGAAACAAGTGCTCCCGCCGCCCGCGAGGGCGAGCAGTGGAGCCGTGGCAGTTGGCAGAACTGGTCCGAGTGGAGCGGATGGGGAGACAGCAGCGGAAGCTATTCATCTTGGCGGTGGCGCTAAAAGCGCATCCGTCATGGTTTGCATGCGTGCAACGGTTCCCCTTGACCTTCTCCCTCTGTTGTGTTACTGTTTGGCTGCTTTGTGAAAGGCCCCTTGAACACGCAGAGGGGGGTGAAGAATTAGATCGGTCATTATGGGGTTTTACATCCGTTGCATCCGCAGTGTGGCTGTTCAAGCGTGAAAACGTGCGAGCAGCGCACTTGGACGGTTTGTTGTTTCCTTTTGGGCCCCAAACCGGTAACCCTTGAATCTATACAAACCAATGCTGGTGATGAGGAGGATGCTGGTGCCATCACATGTTGACCCTAGAAGCCCGGAATCACGTCTCAGAGCCAGAGGGGAGACAAAGCGGCATACGATCAATTCCCAAAATGAATGATTTGTAAAACATCATCCAATGCATCAAAAAAAGCCTCATCGTCACTACTCGCCGCTACTCCTGGCATCACACCCAACCCCAGTGACAAGGCGACAATTAGAATGATGTAGCCGGTAGAAGATAGATCCCTCCCCAAATTGGTTATCGCCACAAGCATCGCTTGCATTTGCCACCCTTCCCGGCCGTGTCCCACCTTCACCCATCAGTGGCTTGGCGTGGCTTAACGTGGCCAACATGCCATCGCTGGGCAGTTTGATCTTGCCCAGCGCCGATAGCCTCAACCCCCATTTTCAAAATCTGGCCAAAACACCATCAAGTCCATGGCTTTGGTCAGAACTTAGGCCTTTGACTTTTGACCTTCGGTTTCCCGGGTTTGGTCCAGGAGGTCGGTCAAGATGAAGGCTCCCTAGGCAGCGTTTCTGCTGCCCCGCCGCCAGCATGCAGGTTGGCTTTGAAGTGAGCCAAGTCACCTACAAGTGGCCGACCTGGCTGATGCTTGGTCCCATTAGCCAAGTTTCTGCTGTGTGAAGAAGCCGAAGGAGTGATCATGCTGTTTGTTGCAGAATGGGACCCTCGGTTTTCCTTCACTCCTGTAACCGGTGGGTGCTACTGATATCTATCAATGTCGATTGGTCCCGTTTTGTTGACGATTCGCGAGGGCAGCCCGCCAAAACCTGGCCCTTAATCCTCCATAGTGATGCGAAGCCAAAGGGTGTTTGGTTTCGTCTTCTGTTCATGTGCGTGATCTCAGGCGCGAGCAGACCAGCAAGCAGCGAGTGATCTGGGCCTACAAGAGCCATGGCGAAGATTGGGGAACTCGATCTCGAGCGGAAGGGTCGACTCGTGGCACTCTTGAAGCTGGTCAGCTGAGACCACGGTGTCGGCTTGGGACTTTGGGATATGTTTGCTCCGCCTGGAAACAGCTCGGAGGATCCTCTTCTTGGATGTCTTCTTCCCAGCGGAAGTGAAGCGCATCCTCTTTATCGATGCAGATGAGATCGTCCGGGCCGATGCGCGGCCCCCAGGCCCCCAGGCCCCAGACCCCCAGGCCCCCAAGCCCCCAGGCCCCCAGGCCCCCGGGCTGCTGGGTCCCTCAGGGTGGACATGTTCGGGGCTTCTCAAATTTACTGTTGCTGAGACCCCTGACCATTTGTAGGCAGTAAGTCTGTGTCGCTTTGATGCACCTAGCCCGGCGCGCGATTTTCAGGTCGAGGAGCTGTGGAAGATGGACATTAAAGGCGACCTCCGGACAGTGCAGTGCGCCGGAAATTTGCATTTTTACTGGTTGGTCCCAGGGCCAACTGCCAACTGGTTTTGACCCATGTGGGGAGGGAAAGTTCCCGAATCGGACACAACTGTTGAGGCTTCTAAGGAGGAAGCAGTTCAAACAGCCTGTGACTCACAGCAAGCTCCTTGCTGTTCGCTTTTTGAGCAACAAGTTTTTTCTCCTTGCCATTAGATGACCTTGGGCTTTATGCGCGACCCTACTTGGGCACTTTTGAAAAATGCGTCATTTTTCACACCAACTTCTCGGCTTTTCGGATGCGTCCGAGTCTCCTCCTAGGGCTTGTGAAACGCCACCAGCCAGACCGGGGCGGCCGCCATCGCCATCGATGCCAGGCCACTCCTGGGGCTTCGTGCCCTTCTGCGGCTCCGGCCCGGCGCAGAGCCTCAGCAGCTCCATTTGGAACTCCCTCACCGGCAAGGCGGGTCGCGGGGCGGCATGGCCAGAGCTGCACACCGTGAGAAGGAGGGCTGGGTCAATGGACCCGGTAAAGATTGCGATAGATTCCTTCTCCAAACTCATTTTTTAGGATTTGAGCTGGAGGGCAAGACGGGTAAGCCAGCATGTCCGAGATTCTCAATCCAATCTTTGAAAATCGAGATGATGCTTGAAGCTCGGCTGACAGCTGATGATTGACGTCTTCAACGTTGCACAGTTCTGACTTGTCTTGCGTGTGGCAGCTATTCACTTGAATGTTCTGGGCGCTTGATGTGTCCACAGTAAAATGTTCTACGCCTGGGCAGCCCATGACTGCATCTAAGGAGGGAATCTTGGGCACACGTCTTTGTTAGCTTTGAAACATGACTTCCTGTAAAATCCGGATGCGGGCAGACCGCTGTTGAAAGGGATGAAATTTCCAATTCCCCTGCAACCCCCCTCCCCCCGCCTGGACCATATTCCCTTGAAAGGGACAGCTTGGTAGTTGACAGGAAGAAGACATGTTGCCACTGGGCGGAGAAAGTGGCAAGGCGAGCAACCAGATTTCAGCGAAGCGTGTTGAGGGACCGGACGTGGCGACATTCTGTTTGGAGCCCACAACGTCGCTTCACACTTCGGAGGCATTGCATCAAGCCTCGCAGTCAGTACTAGACTTGTCTCACAGAACAGACTGGGGGGAGGGTGAATGCACAAAAGCACAGGGTCTTAGCGATGAAGTTTGAAGCACAACTTCAACAGAAGCCTTTTGCAGATTCACCATGCAGAGATGAGGCTAAAGCACCCTTGGCGGTGGTTGTCCTGTTGTCGAAACCATGACAACGGCCCGAGGAGAGTGCAGCCTCGTGTGCACGTTGCCCCCTTCAGGCCAAGCAGGAAGACTTGAAGAACCCGGAGACGGTGGGCTTTAGGTTTTGGGAGCCGCTCTGCAAGAGACTGGCCGGGCGATTTCACTTTGGCTGTTTGCGTGACCTGTCAATTCTTCCAGTTTTGAAATGGATTGCTCGCAAATCCACGGCTGCGATGAAGCTATGGGCCCAGGCAGGGCTTCTGGAAGAACCACCTGGGCTCCCGCTTCTTCTATCACATCTCCGCGATGTTCGTCGTGGATTTGGAGGCCTGCTTTGGGACTCACCCATGCACAATATTATATTGACGACCTCACTGGCGAGTATACAACCTGGCTATGAATTTTAATGAGGAACTCCCGAAAACTGGTTGGTGGACATAATTCCCCACCTAAATGATGTCCGCCAAAGGGTCCCCTAGTTATATAAATATCATTCCCACCTGGCTTTCCTTCCCCCCCGTTCAGAAGCCGACGAGCCGGAGCCGGTCCCGTGGTCTGGTCCTGCCAGGTCTTTCGCAAGAAAGGTGCTGGGGACATTCTACGGGAAGCCTACCAGTCCTTAACGGCGGACCCCTACAGCTTGTCCAACCTGGACCAGGAGCGCAGTGCATTGCTTGAAATCTGTTTGTGCCATTGTGTGGTTGTGTGTTTGTTTGTCAGTCTATTTGTTTGTCTGCCTGTCTGCTGTGTGTATGTCTGTTAGTTTGCTTGTTGTGTTGGCATGGTTCTTTCTTCAGCTTGCACGCGTGTTTGTTGGTTAGTTGTTTTGGTTTGGGCTTGTTTGGTGTCGTTTGGTGGTGGTTGCTTGGTTTCTTTCTTGTTTGGTGCTCTGCGTGTTTGCTTTTTGCTAATTGTTTGCGTTTGTGTTGGGTGTGTTTGTTTGTGTGGTTGTTGGTTGGGTCGGGGTCGGGTTAGCTTTGGTTTGTGCGTGGGCTTGTTTGTGTGTTTGTGTCTTTGTTTGTGTGTTTAATTCATTGTTTGTGTATGTCTTTCTTTTTTTCGTGTATGGTTTTCTTTATGTCCTTCTTTCGTTCTTTATGTTGTCGTGTCTTTCGTTCCTTGGTTTGTTTGTTTGTTTGTGTTGGGTTCATTTGTGTTTTGTGTGTGTTGCTCGTTGGTTGTTTGCTGTTTTGTGTGTGTGTGTGTGTTTGTTTTATTGTTTGTTTGTTTGCGTGCTTGTATTTGTCTGTGTGTGTTCTTTGATTGTGTGTTGGTTTTGTTTTTGCTTGTGTGGTTGTGTGTTTGTGTTTAGTTGTACTTGTTCGTTCGATGGTTTACTGTTGTCGAGTTGTTGTTTGCGGATTTGTTTGTTTGTTTGTTTGTTGTTTGTTTGTTGTTTGTTTCTTTATTTGTGTGTTTGGTTGGTTGGGTTGTGTGTGTGTGGTTGTTTGTGTGTGTGTGTGTGTGTGTGTGTGTGTGTGTGTGTGTGTGTGTGTGTGTGTGCATGTGTGCATGTGTGCATGTGTGCATGTGTGCATGTGTGCATGTGTGCATGTGTGCATGTGTGCATGTGTGCATGTGTGCATGTGTGCATGTGTGTGTGCATGTGTGCATGTGTGCATGTGTGCATGTGTGCATGTGTGCATGTGTGCATGTGTGCATGTGTGCATGTGTGCATGTGTGCATGTGTGCATGTGTGCATGTGTGCATGTGTGCATGTGTGGTGTGCATGTGTGCATGTGTGCATGTGTGCATGTGTGCATGTGTGCATGTGTGCATGTGTGCATGTGTGCATGTGTGCATGTGTGCATGTGTGCATGTGTGTGTGCATGTGTGTGTGTGTGTGTGTGTGTGTGTGTGTGTGTGTGTGTGTGTGTGTGTGTGTGTGTGTGTGTGTGTGTGTGTGTGTGTGTGTGTGTGTGTGTGTGTGTGTGTGTGTGTGTGTGTGTGTGTGTGTGTGTGTGTGTGTGTGTGTGTGTGTGTGTGTGTGTGTGTGTGTGTGTGTGTGTGTGTGTGTGTGTGTGTGTGTGTGTGTGTGTGTGTGTGTGTGTGTGTGTGTGTGTGTGTGTGTGTGTGTGTGTGTGTGTGTTTTTGTTTGGTTCGGTGTGTCTTGGTTGTTCTTGTTGTGGTTCTGTTGTCTCTTTGTTTGTTTGTTTGTTTGTGTGTTTGTTTGTTTGTTTGTTTGTTTGTTTGTTTGTTTGCTTGTTGGGTTGTTGGATGTTGTTGGATGTTGTTGGATGTTGTTGGATGTTGTTGGATGTTGTTGGATGTTGTTGGATGTTGTTGGATGTTGTTGGATGTTGTTGGATGTTGTTGGTTTGTTGGCTTGTTGGCTTGTTGGTTTGTTGGTTTGTTTGTTTGTTGGTTTGGTTTCGTTTGGTTTCGTTTGGTTCCGTTTGGTTTGTTTTTTGTTTGTTTTTTTGGTTTGTTGTGTAGTTGGGTGCTTGTGTGCTTTTGTTTGTGTTTGTGTGTTAGCTTGGGTAATTGCTTCTTAAGTGTTAGTGCGAGTTTGACACACGGGTTCAATAAGACGGGAAGATGCCATCAGTTGTGCTGACGCGATCGGTCTGAAAGATTCAAAGAGCTGTATCAGCCAGCAAGTATCAGCCTCAAGTCAGAAGCAGACAGTATATTTGCGGGCCGAAGCAAACTTTGCCTTTCGGTCACACACAGTGCAGACGGAGGCTTGTCTTCAAGCATGCCCGTTGAGAGGACTTAGTCAACTACATTCAGTCCAGCTTGCCGATCTATAGCCTTCCGCAGGCGAGGGCAGTGGTTCTTTGCTTTGCGCTCGGCTGCCATGAAAAGGGTCTTTCCATTACGGAGCAGCGAATGAGACGTGCGTCGTGCTCTGGGGGGGTACGAAGTGACGCAGACTATTCATGTGAAAGAATGATATGACGACCCTACTTGGTGGGAAAGTTTGAGCAATAAAGAATTCGGTGTGAAGAGTCATGTTTGCAGGAATGGCTATGGTGCGAGTCCTGGTGCAGCGAAAGTTCAAAGCAAAATGCCAAGAACATCGACATGTGAAGCTTGGCCGAAGGTCCCAATAGAAGCAAGCCAAAGATGGATTCGGAGTTAGCTAATTATTTAGATACCCGGTTCCTCAAGCTTTATAACATGTTGTCTCGGCAACGTGCAGACCGCTGGAGGTTGCGTTTGGACATGTTCTACGTCGTTGGTGCAAGACATGTATCCGACCTGCCTTGCAGGTCTCGCCTTTAGAGGCAGTGGACACACAAGCACCAAGGGTCACAAGGATAGACGTCAAGACACGAGGATATTTTTCGAGGGGTTGATTTTTTCCATTATTTTTCAACCATTGTTCTTTCCAAAAACCGGCCGTTTTCCCTGGGTTTCTGGAGGTTTCCCAGAAAGAAGGATCCCTGGAAAGGATGGAAATGGAAGGTACCCCTAGAATTTTCTCAGCTTGGCCACCTGCCCTAGCCGAGGTCAGCATCCCTTGAAGAAGGAGCCTTGGAAGCTTGAGGTTAGCGTATGCTCAAAATCAACTGGAGCCCAGGCCTGTCATGCAGTGTCCTGCTCCCGAAACAGCAGAACAATGTCACCAATGAGCAATTCCCATCAAGCTGCATCATGTTTTTGGATATTGAGCAAAATGGCGAAGATTGCGTGGTATTGCACCGGCTTGACCGATCCATGGCGATCCATGGCGCAGGGGGCTCGGCGTTTCTTGCGGCGCAGGAGGGGAAGCTGCAGAATGCCCGACGCATTGCGCCCGAGTGGACGCAATACGACAACGAGCTCCAGGCCATCATCGACAAGATCCAATGACCCGCGGAGTTGCTGGAGGCAAGGCAAGCAATAGAACCAAGCAATAGAGCCAAACAGAATGGAGCCATGATGACCTGAGCCTGTGAAAAATTAGATAGTATGGTCTCCAATGTTCACAAAGGGGGGTCATTCCCACAAGTACGCTGCGAAAGCGCAGCCACAATCTTCTAAAGTTGTCAGGGTTATTGAGAGTTGGTTGTTGGCCCGATCAACATTCCTAAGGAGATGCCGCCAGTGCACATGTGGAGTGGGACGACGCGATGCAGCTCCAAGATGAAGCCAGTTGCAAGGGCTTGTGCCATGGGGCTGCACTTCGCCAAAGATATCGCCCCGTTAGGAAAAGCTGCCGCGCGTTTAGCACGGGGGAGAGTGCATGTGTCAAAGAGTCGGCTGCAGGAGCAGGATGATGGAAGTGCACCTTGGTGGCAATCAACGGATTGAAGACATCCTATGCAACATTGGCAACCAGAGTGTGTGTGTTTCCGAAGCTGTTCTCAGCTTCAGCGCTTGCTGTTTGCTTACCTTTACATTCCATATCTTGGATTTAATCTTGTGGATTCCAGGGTGGTGAATGGCATTTGAAGGGACGATGATCAGCACGATTCCAAGATGTTCAAGTGAGTCATGCAGTGCAGTTTGGAGCCATGACTTTCCAACCACCCCTGAGCTCGCAAGGTCTTGATTTGAGCTGACTTTGGCCGATTGCTGCAGATGCGATGCAGCAGCGGGAAGAAGCACGGCATCGCGAAAAATAGGGCCAGAAGTGGCAGAAGTGGCAAGAAGAGTCCCTCTTTGGGCTCATCCGGGGTGTAAAGCTGCAACAAGGCAACAAACGATGTAGTTGTGCTGTTGTGTGCTTGCCCGTTTCTGTCCTCAGAACTTGACAAGCTGCACAATATAGTCTAAAGGCAGAACACAGCTGAGATATGTTCTCTGTTCAAAGCGAATTTTGCAGCCACGAGTTGAGTCATGGCCCGATACTGTTACCTTGACACTGAAACCACTTACAGCTTCATGGTGTTTGGATCATGGGAGGTGATGCTGTGGCAATCAGCTTGCCCAGGCCCGACCCCGTTATGAACGGCGACCTAGCCAGGCAGGTGATAGGGCTCCTGCTCAGTCCTCGGGGTTCACGAGCGCACGAGCAAAACAGAGCCACCACGATGCACCATTCAAGAAGCGCCCACAGACTCTGGGTTTTTTTCGGGCCTGATAGCTGTGGGAGCCGTCCGCCAGGACGTGGCTCGTGATTCTATATAGATTTGTGAATGCTGAAAGTATGGGCTCACAGAGACGACCAAACATGCCACGCGCAGCCTGCACAAGCACCTGTTGGCACATGTGCGCGCACTTTCTGGGGGTGAAGCTGCATCATGTGCAAGAAAGGCCTGCGTTTGACAGCGCTTGCTATGAGAGCCATTCGTGAACCATGCTTGGATTGCATTGGACGAACATGCATGCTGGCTGCAAAGCAGCGACCATTCAGCAACAAAAGCCAGCTCAAGAGGTACCAATCAAAAGTGGAAGTAGATTCAACCACTCTTGGCCTCTCCCGCAGGACTCGCGCGCCTGGATGGCCGGTCCCCTGGTTTGCGCGGATTGGGTTCGTCTCATGGAATTGCTTCTGACACTTCTGCCTTGGTCTCCCGTGGTTGCGTTAGTTCTGCCGAAAGATTGGGTGTTTCAGACGCGATCAGCGAGGCGTGAGCATGCAATGCGGTCATTCGCCTCGGCCAGAAGGCTGACATCCGTAGATCGCTGAGGGGAAGACGCCGTCGGCCAAGACAATGGATGGCGCAGGATGGGATGGCGTATCACAAAGCTTTTCAGGTTTGGAATGTAAAGGAGACCTGCTTGTTCGCAAATGTGTGCCGAGTGATGGATAGTGTCACGGAATCCGAAAGGCCTGAGCTGGCCAAAGCTGGAATCCCAGAGTCTTGTAGAAGATGGTTTGATATCCAGTCTGGGAGGATCAGGGAGGGGTCTTTTCGTTCGGGCAAGTCTGGCTGGGTCCAACCTCAAGGTGCAAGCCTATGGCACTTTGCCAACGCCAGGACCATGATGCCGCCCGGAACCCGGAAGATAATGGCGGAAAGGGGCGGAAATGCATCTGCCCCCCCCCCCCCCTCAACAGCCCAACGCCAAGGGGAACATGATGAAGTCATTGATCTTCTTGTAAGCGTTCTTCCAAGCCTGCCATAATCAACCAATGTAAAGGTGGGCCCAAGACAGGCTTGTCCCTTTGCTGACATTGGAGGCAATCAGGTGATGGCAGCGGTTTCATCGGACATGACTTCGCCCTGTCATGCATCGCATGTGGCATTGCAACGGTGCAACAGCATGCAATTTCTGTTGACAGGTCTTAGAACTATGTGGGCATGGACCCTGAAGGCACGACGGAGCCCCGCAAGTCAGCTCCGGACTATACTGCGAAATTGAGGCCCATGGGCCCAGAACTGAACTTAATTGAGGCCCGGTATGATTGAAAGGCCACTTCCGAGAAACGACGAAAGGGAACATGAAAGGATCCCATTGAAACCGCCGGCATGTGTCTCGATGCCCTTGCGACCTGGCAGGGGCTTCCGCGCTGGGGCCCCAGAATTGCCTGTGCTGCCCAGGGCTCGCTCCCAAGAAATCGGAGGGAGGACCATGCCTGCAGCAATGACACAAACGAATGAGACTCTGACAAAGGCAATCCAATATGTGATTGTTCTCCAAGCCCGGATTTGAAAGTCTCCAGGGCTGACCGTGTTGTCCAGTTTCCTCGGCTAAGAGAAACCACTGGGCAGCTTGGGCATTGCTGAAGGGTGCACAAGAGACGGAGCTGTAGATTCATGTCTTGTCATGTTGGCTGATAGCTTGAACTTAGACGCCCCAATGGACCTGCGAGCACCCTGAGCTCCGGGCACTTTGCAAGGCGTTTGCTGGGATAGCTTTTGCGTGTCGGTTGGCGGCGACGGTGTGATGCACTCGATAGCAAGGTTCACTCGATGGCTTGTTGCTGCTGTTCGTTGTGTCGCCGCCCCGTTGCGCTGGTATATGCTCCAAGTTTAGAGCAGGAAGCACCTCAAAGAGGCCTCCGCAATGTGTTTTTCTGGGAGCACGCCGATGTCTCGGTCAGTCCGGAGATGCGGCTCCTGTAGTGGGAGTAGATCTTCGGTAAGCTGCTAACATCTGCTAGCATGACGAGCAGGCAAGTTAGCTTGATAGTTCCTGGCCTCAGCATGAAAAGAGGGAGGGACATGATGGCACACTGCTGAAAGCGAAATGTTCGACATGTTTTGTGATAGTTTAGAGCTTTGGTTCCTGCTTTGACCGCTTTGACGACATGTCTAGAACATCAACTCAGAGACCAGTGCGTTTGCTTGAACGAAGGGGGGAGAGAGAGGGAAGGAAGGAAGAAATCAAGACGGGACGAAAGACTAGTAGAGCACCGAGAGACGCCAGCCAAGAGGCACAGCACAACAAGTCAGAGAAGAGATGCAGAGAGAGGGAAAGCGCACAGATGCTAAGAATAAACTTCCGATTGCTATCAAATAATTCGCTTTGATGTGCCGTTGCCTGATTATTTTACTCAATTCAAGTTTGATAGCTCCAACCTACATACGTCGGCACAGATTCTGTATGTGACAACGCGATGGGGACGGGACGTGTTGTTGTTTGGCGAAGCTTTGCTGGGATGTCTCAAGTTTCTACACGCTTTGCAAATGGTGCCAGGGGAGTTGTTAAGTGCGCTCATCCCCTTGCAAGAGAAAGAAGGTGCGAGGGGCCATCCCAGAGTCTGGTCTACGCGTCTACTATTGGGTACTAAATATCCTCGCATGTCCAATGTCGGAGGGAGTTTGTAGAATCACAAGAGTTATGGCCTTTGTTACGTACTACATTCCAAGAATGAATGTTCGGGTATGTTGGAAGACCTTGACGCAACAGTCATGCTGGCAGTTGGCTGTGTCAGCGTTAGCAGCCATCGGCGGGGCTTCCAGCGATGCCAACCGGAGTGTTGGCAGCTGCCTCAGTAGCCCTTCCTTTGTCACTTGGGGTTTGCCCCCAAAAAGTCGGAAAATCGGAATGGGGTTTTGGGCACCCCCCGAAAGTCTTCGTGTTGGGAAGGGTTAGGCGCATGGCATGTCGCAAGAGGGCTTGAGTCGGCTCGTATTCGAGGTGCGATGGAACAACGAGAAGGGCCCGAGAGCCCAGAGAGGCGTCAGAACAGGGACTCTCCAATGTATTTAAAATGCGGCTAGGTTTTTTGTTGTTATTGTTGTTATTGTTGCGGTTCTTGTTATTGTTATTGTTATTGTTGTATTTGAAATGCGGTTTTTTGTTGTTATTGTTGCCTTCCAAGTTCACCTATTCGCCCAGGTCTTTGTTCAAAGTTGCGGTTAGACGGGCATCGAAATGCAGCGTGTGTGCACAGACCGGGACTGCCGGTCCTCGCTCTGATCCCCGGCTCTTAGGATTTGGCTTCATTCAGCCCCAGGACAATAGCGAGGAGGGGCGTTTCGCCGCTGAATCACGGGGTTTTTGAGGTGTCGCAGGCCACGAATTGGCTGGATTCTGAGGCTGGAACCAAGACCTGGCGTCTCATGCAAATGAAAAAAGTTGACTTCATGTGCAAGTTCAGGAAATGGTACTGCGAGAATGAGATGTTTGAGAATAGGGAAGAGACGGTTTGCTAGGCTCGGTATGAGATGGGAAAGGGAAACAAAGACAGCAAAGCAATGAATGTAGACAGAAGTTCATGAAATGCCAGTCAAAGCCACAAAGCATCGCGCCAACTTCCGAAGGGGTGGGCATTTTGGCTCCAAGGTCGCAACTAAGCAAAGGCTTTCAATCCCATGAGCAATCTGAAGTTCTGAGACTTGATAGGAATTTACAAACCCTTGGTTAAGTAATAGGGTGGGAAACTAACCCTAATAACCAGCAAAAAGTTGATTGATCCAGGGTGAACATCAGAAGTGTTGGAGAGGCTCGAGAGCCGCAGGACGTGTTTTGCCACGTCTCTGACCTCCAAGACGGCGAGGGCAGCGTCCAAGAGGAGCGAGTGGCGTTCGAAGTGTTTTGTTTTTTTTTTCCTGAGTTGTCCGTGAAGCTGTGGCAGCTGAGGAGGTTGATAGTGTGGCAGTGAACTTGCACTTCCTGAACCGTCATTCCAGCGGAAACATATATTGTGCCTAGGGACTTGTGGCTACCTTGCTGGCAGCGATGCTAACTTGGATATGGCATGTTCTTGAGCACTACCAGGGTTGATTGTTGATTGCCTGCATGTGGCTCTCAGCACCCCTTAGGTTTCGTCTTTCGTAGCGCGGGCAGCTGGTTGCTCGCTGGCTCGCGTGATTGCTTCCTTGCTTGCTTGCTCGCTTGCTTGCTTGGGCTGGCTGGATGGAGCGTGATTCTCCAGTCGGGATCTTGCGCAAGGCTAAACAAACCCTCAAAAACACAAGCCCTCAAAAACCAACTCAACCCCCCCCCCCACCGGCTTCGGTCCATTTGGTGATCTCAGGGCGACTTCGTGCTCTACACGGAGAAATGGGACAACCGCAAGGCCTGATCGAAAAGATTGGAGGAATGAGGGCGGATTCGAGAGGGGCTGAGAGTGGCAAGCTGAATCGATATTTCCACGGGAACCACAAGTGGATACACTTGACACTTGACTTCCCGCGCGCCCCTTCTACTTGATTTCCCGCGCGCCACACGGAGCTAGGGCAAATACCGAGCGGCGGAAGTGGAGCTCAGCGCGCCCGGCGAGCTCGCGGAGATTAGCGCGCAGAGGAGGAGAGACGGGATAAAGAAGCAGCTGGCTGTGGTTGTCAAACTCAATGGGATCCCGTTTTGGTTGGTAGGTGAATTCACCACCCATTTTAGAACCTATTTTACTGGTTGGATTGAATTGGATGTTCACTGGGGGACGATTTGGGTTTTGACCCATGGCCAGCTGACTATGAAATTCAATAAGGAACCCCTTGTAAAGGTGGCCGGACATAAATCTCCATCTAAATGGTGTCCACTTTGGTGTGTCCCCAATTACAGATCATACATATGCGGAGGTATTGCGGGCGGGCACTGGATAGACATCCACTTCACAGTTTGGTTTATCCCGTTCACAGGGTCTCGTCCATGCCGTTTTTATGGTTTTGTTTTTTGTTTGATAGGGACATCCTCAAAAGTTGTGAGTGGTCACAAATCCCCATGAGTAATTTGAATTCCTCCAAACGGTTTCCCAATTGAATATCAGACCCACATGTCTCAAAACCAATCGAGCCCTCGCCTGTGCATGACGGGTATGTGTCTTCCCTTTCCCATGTCTGACTTGTCTTTCAGCGGGATTCCTTTTCTGCCGTCAAGACCGGATGAATTTGCACCATCTCAAGCAGCGGCGTGTGCCGCGCAGGAAAAGAGCTGCAACCCATAGAGAACGGAGTCGCCGGCGAGCCCAGAAATGGCACGGGCGCAGTTGAAAAAAGTTCAAAATGCCCAAGACATCTTCACAAGCAACTTGAAGTGATGGGGCTGGGCAACGCCGATACTTAGTGCAGTTGGATTGGGTGGCTTTCTTGCTTGAACCGAGGTGACCGCAGTGGTTCTCGGCATAGAGATGGCGAGAGAGGCTCGCTATGGGCATTCGGTTGTTGGCCGCAATGAGGGAAGGTGGTGGTGACACGTCCATTCAATTAGTTTTTCCTTGTGAACCCACCCTTGTCTCAGGGAAGCAAAGGGCGACCATAGGCCTACAACTGCTTCCTACTTGACCAAGGGCCGGATTTGATGGATCGGCACGGTCTAGGCTCATAGACTTGATTCAATTGGCCGTGGGATTGCGTGTTTGAGTGATGAAACTTATCCGTCAGCCTGAGTGCTGTTTTACACACACACACATGAAACACATGAAATTTGGTTGTTTCAATTGTGAATGGTATTTGTTGGATCCTTGAGCCCTCACGAATCTGGAAACACTTGTCGATGGAAGCTGCTCCCTGTCCAAGCCCTCGGCGAAAAAGCCTTCTGGAAAACGGTGCCTTCCATTCACTGAAGCTAAGGCCTTACCCCAAACGGTGTACGGGTCTGTCTCAAAATAGGGGTACCCCAAAATGGGCGATTCTGCTTTTGGCTTTCCCTTAAAATCACAACAAAGGAGTACCCTCAAAATACAGGTGCCCCCATACCCCACCAAAAGAAACCATTTTGGGACACGTGTCCATTCGGGAGTCCGTGGCACGGACTCCATTCCAGCCCCTGCCAGCTCCTCCGAAGCCCAAGCCCAAGAGCAACGAGCCGGGCAAGGAGAGCACTAGCCCTTGGGCCACGGGATCTGGAAACCTTCACTGGACGGAATGGACATAAATTTTGAGAGTGAACCACAATTTCAGAATCGGAGAGAAAACATGTAAAAATAGATTTGAACAATTGCCATAATTGGAGACAATACCAGCACCAGTTCTCTTAGTAATAGATTCTACATCCAAGATAGAGCAACCAGTGTTTCCAATCGAGTGAGTGAGTGAGTTCGTGGGAAGGATGGGAAGGATGGGACAGCAAAACGCCATTCCTCGCGCAGGAGGTGGGCACCATGGTGCGCTGGCACAGCGACAAGGCGGGCTATGCCCGGCCTTGCCGGCCCCGGCGGTTTTCTGGTCCTTGGGCTCCATTCCTGTGGGGCCTTCCGTGGGGATGCGGCGCCTCGAGCCTTGGGCCAGGGCTTCGGCTTCATTAAGCCAGACGATGGCAGCGAGGCGCGGATTTCAGCCAAGCCTTTCAGCTCCCAGGGCTCGGCGCCAGGGCGCGAGAGCGCCCGCCACACAGTTGTCATGAGTTCACATTGGTCAAACCACGAGCGTTGATTTTAACTCATGAGCAAATGCAACTCGTGCTTGCGCCTTCTCGGAGCGAGCCAGGACTTGTTCGCGCATGTCACTGCACTGGCGGACGGCGATGGCAGCATACAAGAAGGTGACAAGGTGACGTATGACAAGGCCATTGGCTGGGCCAACTGGAGCACCAAGCTCACAAATGGAAGCTGTGTCAAAATTGGGACCCCGTCCACAGGATCGGCTTCCTACCAGTTTGTTGGACGAGCCATCAAAAACTGTATCTTTGGTTCAACGCATTCCAAGATGGTCTGGACGGATGCATTTCTTCGCTCACCTCCGGTCAAGCAATCAATTCCTCGGGCACCGGCGCCACTCTCTTGTTGGCCTTTGCACTTGGGTCTGGCACAAAACGGTACGTGCCGGGCCGGCCTTTCAACGCCAGGAATACAACGAGAGGAAGGGCAAGGACCAAGCCACCAATGTCAGGGCTGGAGCAGGCGAGGCCTTGGGAGGTTCACTTGGCCCATGTCATAGAGCCAAGCGGAGGGAAAGGTACTGGACAGGACATCCTGGACAGTGTGAGATGCTCAGAGAACCATTAGAATACTGCATGAAACCTCACTCAGGCAGCGGCGGTGGTCATGGTGATCGGGACCGCGATCGGGATCGCGACCGGGGAGCACCTTGCCAGCCAATAGGCCTAGGCTTGAGCTATTCAAACGAAGAATTGAATTCCGGGAAGCTTCCAACAACCTTGCAGAGCTGAAGTTGTTTGCTGCTTTTGCACCTGGTTCATGGTCCTTTGTGTTGGTGATCGTGTGTGTCAAAGCGCTCTCCCTGTGGCGCCGTGCAAATGACTATGTTGCTCCGTGAAGAGTGTCTTCGAACAGATTTCTTTGTGTTTGTTTGTGGAGAATAGGGTTTAGAGGGCGCGTGCGCTTGAGCGAGTGTGCCCCCTCCAGAAACAGCGCAAACAGTGACTGGAACAGTGGGTACGGAAGTGACTGGATTTTGCGGGCGCAGAAGGGATTTTCTGGGAGCGGAAGAGACTGACGTCCCATGCAGTAACCTCTCAGTGATGGGCACATCCTCCATGGGCACATCCTCCGTGGCCACCAGTCGCACGTGCTGCCCACGTGATGCAAGAAAGTTGCAAACAAATCCTGGACTGTACGAAGCAGACATGACACTGCTGAAATCTGTCAACGCCCAATTGAAATTCAAGGCAAGGCGACAGTTGATGACAAAGCGCTGTTGAAACGTTGGGACCTTTGAAATCCCTGTGCACAACATTAGCAACCCTTGAAGACACGGCAGTGCCTAAGAGGCATGAATCCATAGTTTGGCTAGTACCCCCGGCCAGTCGGCCAGTCTGGTACTGGCACCTGGCCTTCCTTCAGAGACCTTGCATCCACTCGGCAGTTCAAGCCGCTGCTTGACGAAGCTTGCCGTCTCAACTAATTGTGAAACTGTGCGCCTTATCCAAAAATGCTCAAAATGAAGTCCAAGTAGCATTTTGCATCAAACATAGAGCAATTGAAAACGACTACATGGGTTTCTGTGCAGTCTTCGGGCACCAGTTGTTCAACAGCAGGGGTTGGCGGATGTATGCGTGGTTGGCTTGGTTTGGTTTGGTTTGGTTTGCTGGTTGGTGGTTTGGCAGGCTGGTTGAGTTGGATTCGGCGACGCTAGTCATTGATCGGCACGCACCTTTGCGTTCGGAGAGGTCATGGCAATCCCAAACGTACGAGCCTTGCAAGCGCATCATGAAAACATATTTAGTTTTGCGCAAGGTGAGTCATCTCTGCATGTGATGAACACCTCATGCAAGGTTGAAGGAAGTTTGGTTTTCAGGCTCAGATGCGTTCAAACCATGTCCATTCAACAACTGAAGCAAAACACACTCAGATCCTAGGCTTGGCAGAATGCCCATTTTCAAGAAATGGTTGTCCCGAAAATGTGACACGCAGGTTCCGCAACCATTGGAACCACTCGTTTCAGATCCGCGCATGCGAAAGCCCCCGAGCTTTCGTTTCCCCCAGCTGACTCCAAGGATCGCCGGGACCGCGACCGGCGCCGGCGCAGCAGGAGCCGCAGCCGCAAGGAGAAAGGCGCGAATGTACCCTCCCACTCGGCCCTCGACAGGTGGGAGGCCCCTTGCGGGTTTCCCAACCGCAAGTGCTATGCTTGGGTACTTGCATTTTGATTGGTGCCCATGTTGGCGGTTTGAAGGGGAAACCAAAAGGATGCCATCCGTTTTGGTAGGTGCCCTATTTTTGGCACAGCCAATGGAAAACAGTGATAAGTCAGTTTCAACAAACCAGGAATGGATGAAGAAGCTCGTAAGGAATTGCGCGTTTGAGTCCTAACAAGCATTATGCAAGTACAGCACTTAACAAGGTCAGCGTGCTAAAGGCCTTTACCCAGGTCTGTGTGCAGGAGGGCGGGTGCACTGAACGGAAACAAGAAGTGGGGCTTGTCGTATGCACTGACTTTGAATCGCAAGCTTCAAAACTTCACAAGGTCTCAAAGCAGCAGGCCGAAAGGCGAATGCTTTCTCCTGCGACAACTTCTCTTGCACGGAAGGCAAAAGTCGCAGCCGCAAGCGCAGTGGCAGCCACAGACGGAAGAGGAGTCGAAGCTCATCTGGCAGCAAGTGACAGGCCGGAGAACTTAGCGGTGAGTAGGCCAATGCTTGTCAAAGGAGAGCATGTTGTACGAAAGGGCTGGTGTTGCGTGTTGGTGGGGCGGTCTTGTGTGTGTGTGATTGGGGCTGGTAGATGATGGTCCTCCACAGTTGTGTACGGAATTTTGACAACCAATGTAAGGGTTCTTATTGAGGAACCCCGCAACGATGAGGTGCGAGGGCTCCACGTCACGCATTGCCCGTTGAGAGCTCATTTGGCAGTCTGCAGGCATTAAGATTCAGCAGAGCATTCTTGCTCAACCTCTCATCGAGAATTTTGCGTAGGCATTCACGGCGGTCCCCTTTTCTGGCGCATACCACCAATGCTGAAGAGATGGTCGCAGTTGGGCTTTATGGGCTCTTAGCAAGACTTTGCAAGCAGCAAACATCATGTGGCAAACTTACTTTCTGTGTGCTCACGCACGCGGACGCGGCACACAGCGCATGCCGCGAAGTCACCTTGAAAGCAAGCCTCCAATCACATAGGCGCATTTGCATGGGCTCACGCAGGCTATGTCTCCAAACAGAGGCGCCCCAAAAACAGTGGTTGTATTGGTGGTCTTTAATCCACCCCGAACATGGTCCCTCAAGAAACATAAACCCGCACCGGTATTTCAGGGTTCGCACGTGCGAAGCTGGAGGCTTTGGGCATCCACATCTGAGACTTTGCATGGAACTGTGGAAGGGGAAGCAGAGGCGGAGTAAGATCAATGAATCAAGCAGATCAGAAGTGTTGGTTGAAAAGGTGATACAGTGTCCAAAGCTTGAATCTCTCAGAGTGTTTTCTCGCAGCGATGGGTTGTGCTCATGATGCGCATGCGGAATTGCCACGCTGGTGTGCAATCGCGGCTGCATGGCGTTCAGCATCAGGAGTCGATTTGTGCATTGTCTATTTTGGTATGCTCACATGTGAAATGAGTGGCCTGTCGTTGCAAAAGCCATGGCCAAAGGCTCCACGCTGGAGCCTTGCAGTTGCAGAGAGCCAGACAACTGGAGGAAGTGCGAATCTTATCCTCGCCGGTGCAAAGCTCCAAGGGCTTTCGGCAGGAAGGGGCGCAGATGCTATCCGTTATGAATGTTGAAAATTGGTGAACAGAATCCAAGAGTTTGAAGCAACAACCAATGAAGACTATATTAGTTGATTGATTGATTTGAATGAAATAATGATATGTACATGTTGTTTGAATAAGGCTTAGATTAGAAGGGTGCGTCCCGTTTTAAGGTGCTTAAGGTTTAATAAAGGATAAACATTCGATATATATAAATGATATATTCGAACAAAAAAAAAATGGTTCGAATTATATTATTAAATATAATTAGGTTATTTTTATTATTATGATTATGATTGGTGTGTTATGTGGGTTTTATATATATATATATATTTATTATATTTTAATTTAATAATGGTGTTATTAGGTTATATATATATATATATATTTATGTATTTAATAATTATAATATAATTGTTGAATTTAAATATAAATATAAAATAATATTAATTTGTTATTCTAGTTATTAAGTTATATTTTTTAAATAAATAAAAAAATATGTAAATAAATATATTTTTTTATTATTTATATTATGTTATATTAAGGCAAAATAGTAAATAATAAAATAATAAAATATTTTTTACCTTTAACATTGTTAATTATTATAAAAATATATATAATTATAGAAATTTAAAATATTTATTTTTAATTGTTGTATTGTTTAACCTATAGAAAATCTTAAAAAATATATAAATTGTATGATTTTGGAATTAAAATGGTATTTTGATCGAATTATTGTATTTGTGATGAAAGGGTATATATGTTTTGAATTGTTATTATGATATATATATATGATTTTAATTGTATAATTACAAAAATTAAACAAAATAGATTGGGAATATGTTCTTGATTAGAATTGTTAATAAATTTTAATTAATGTATTGTTTTAAATCCTATAAAGATAATAAATATAAAGTTGGTTCAAATTAATAATTTTATAGTTGGGTTTATATTAATAATATATATATATTAATTCAGAAAAATATTATATATATAAATTATTTATTATACATTTATATATTCTAAATCAATATAATATATTAATAAATTATATTATTTAAATACATATATTAAATATCAATTACTAAAATGATTAAAATTATATTATATTTCGTATATTATTCTTATATTAAATAATTATATAAAAATTATTTAAATTATATTATATATATTTTAATATAATATTAATCTATTTAACAATATAATAAGTACATAATTTATGTGTATCAATCCTCAATTCTAATATAAAATAATATATATAGAATTTAATAATATATATTATTATTATATATTAATTCTTAATTTTTTATAATTAATAATTTATATAATATATTATAAATTGTATTATATAAAAATTAAATCATTATTTTCCAAAATTTGAATAATATATTAATTATTAATAATTATTAATACCCATCAAATAATTTTAAAATTAAAAATATCTAGAATTAGTTTAAATAATTTATCTTTAAAATTCAATATATATTAATATATTAATATATTCAAAAAAAAATATTATATTTTATATATATTTGAATAACCAAAAATATCATGAAAGGTTCTATAAAAAAAAAATATAAAAATTTATATAGATTACCTTACACAACGAGATGTAATCGACACTTATTCAAACTAATTTACACAACCTAACCTTTTCAGCCTAACTCCAACAGCCTATTTCATACAGCCTAATTTATATAACCTATTTACACAGCCTAATTTATGTTATCTAATTTACATACAATTTAACACAATCTAATTTACAACCTAATTTACACAATCTAATCTACACAAACCCATTTATATTCTAAACTACACAACCTAACTTACACAACCTAAATTACACAACCTAACTTACCCACCAACAAATCTAATAAGCATTAGAGAAATACAACCCATATCGTATATATTAGGCCAACGAACCCTCTATGGAGATCGTGTATATCGGAGCATTCTCGTTATAGCGTTATATGATTTTTTTCGATAATCGACGAGAAAAAAAAGAAAAAAAAAGAGAAAAAAAGAAAATAAGGGGGAAAAAAAGAGAAAAAGAAATTAAAAAAAAAAGGAGAAGAAAAAAAAAAAAAAGAAAAAAAAAGAAGAAAAAAGAAGAAGAAGAAAAAAGAAGAAAAAAAAAAAGGAAGAGAAATAAAAATAGAAATAAAAATAAAAAGACAAAAAGAAAGAGAAAGAGAAAGAGAAAGAGAAAGAGAAAGAGAAAGAGAAAACGACGGAAACGGAGACGAAGAAAAAAAAGAAACCGAAACAAAAACAAAGATAAAACAAGAGAGAGAAAGAGAGAGAGAGAGAGAGAAAGAGAAAAAGAGAAAAAGAGAAAAAGAGAAAAAGAGAAAAAAAGAAAAAGAGAGAAAGAAAAAGAGAGAAAAAGAGAGAGAGAGAGAGAGAGAGAAAGAGAGAAAGAGAGAAAGAGAAAAAGAGAAAAAGAGAAAAAGAGAAAAAGAGAGAAAGAGAGAAAGAGAGAAAAAGAAAAAGAGAAAAAGAGAAAAAGAGAAAGAGAGAAAAGAAGAAAGAGAGAAAAGAAGAAAGAGAGAAAGAGAGAAAGAGAGAAAGAGAGAAAGAGAGAAAGAGAGAAAGAGAGAAAGAGAGAAAGAGAGAAAGAGAGAAAGAGAGAAAGAGAGAAAGAGAGAAAGAGAAAAAGAGAGAAAGAGAGAAAGAGAGAAAAAGAAAAAGAGAAAAAGAGAAGAGAGAAAAGAGAAAGAGAGAAAAGAAGAGAGAGAGAGAGAGAGAAAAGAGAAAGAGAGAAAGAGAGAAAGAGAGAAAGAGAGAAAGAGAGAAAGAGAGAAAGAGAGAAAGAGAGAAAGAGAGAAAGAGAGAAAGAGAGAAAGAGACGAAGAGACGAAGAGACGAAGAGACGAAGAGAAAGAGAGAGAGAGAGAGAGAAGCAGTGTATATATATATATATTATAGATATACCCCAACATTATTGCATCACCTTTCTCATGCACGCTTTCGGGCTAATCGGTGTCTAATTAATCGAAAACCTAAATATTCCAAAGAGCATATTAATATATATATATATATATATAGATTTATTTATATTTAAAAACAATATAAATATATATATATATATGTCCATATTATAAATATATGTCTAAAAAAGAAAAGAACAAGTAGAATAAACCAAACTCAATCTAAAGGTCTTTTGTTTCTCGTATTTTGCCTTTTGTTTTTCATTTCCTCTCTAATTTCGCGATTCTCCATTCACAACTCGCGATTTTCACGTCTCGCCTCGTACTTAACTCGCGACTCTCCTCTCAACTCTCCTCTCGATTCTCCATTTGCGGCTCGCTCCCTCTTAACTCAACTCAAAACTCTAAACTCGAAAGACCTCATCCTCAACTCACAAGGGTTTGCCTCTCAACACTTTACGACTCTCGACCGCTCGACACGCAACTCTCGCCTCTCGCCTCGCGACTCAACTCCTAAAACCCGATATCGTCTCGGCTCCATGGCTCAGTTGCGAATCTCTCAATGGATATATACATATACAATAGAATTCAAGAATAGGCGGCCCAAAAGTTGGTATCTCTTGTCCAGTGCGTTTCAAAACAAATCCTGGTGATGGCAAACCAGTCCAGTCGGACAAACGTGGGCAAGTCTAGGTAATCAAAAGCTAGGCCACAGCTTGCCAGAAGCGCGCTTCAAACAAGTCCACTTCGCAGGTACCCCCCCCCCAACCCCGCAAATACAGAAAAGCAAAGCGGTAAAAAATGCGTCCGGGCAATGTGCACTGGCACCATCGGCCCACTTTTGTGTGCACAATCTTGTCACCCCCCTCCCCAGAAAACGAACTCGTCATGATCTCGCTTTGAACTCGTGTTGGTGGTTTTGGACCCGGAATTGAGCATGCGCAGCCAACGGGAACCTCTGCATGCTACCAGGTGCGCTGCTTGTTTGTGCGCTTGGCAGCAGAGACCACATTTGGGATTGCGTGGCTCGAAACCCCACTCGCAGCTGCACTTGTTAACATGTCCTGTGTCCTCTGTCAGTTCCAGTAACTAACATAGCAAATGTTGATTCAATCTCCTTCGGTCAGAAGGCTGCTTCGCCCAGGCTTACGCCAACAGCTGCGACTCCAATGCCCTGATGCAGCAGACAAAGAAGAATATATAACAAGAGCTATAGTTGCCACGTTTGCCCCACTTTTCCAGTTGTCAGTTCAATATCTGCGCATTGGCCGACATTCACATGTGGCCAACCTCTCTATCTCAGAGAGAGGCTCTGCTACTCAGGTCGTGCATAGCCCATAAGTGACACAATGGCAACTCCGGCCATATTCGGCCAAGAGTGCTACGCGGCGTTGATTTTAAACGCCGCGCATGTTGCAAGGGCAGGTGAAACTCAAGGAGTACCCGTTGAATCCGGAGGCCCCAAAAAATACAAGGCCTGTACACGTTGATCCTAGGGTGACTTCGACCAAGACTCGCGAAGGTGTCCTTGAACCTGGCTACTGCTCAGCAGCTGTGGAAAAGCCGTGCTGGGAATTATGCATGGGCGAATTAGGCAAAGCTTTGTACGATGCCTACTGCTCATCGTCGCCGAAGAGCAACTTGTAGTCCTGGCTCGCAGGCCACGGAGGGGCAACGCACAGGACTTATCAAAAAACGCAAGGACTTCTTACAAACGCACCCCCAAAAGAAACGGACAAGCTCGCAAAAATGTAGCCATGTTGTGACCCTACTTGGCCTCCACAGACCCCCAAGGCCAGTGAATCGCGAATAAAGCCATGTCCTCCATGCTCTCCAAGGTGTGCTTCGGCCTTGGAAGATCGAATGTCAAACGTCCCCTACAGGCCTTCCTTTGTCTCAGGGGCCATCCCCTTCATCTCAACAGGTGGGTTCAGCCTGCGCTACCGACATGGAATTGAATTGGCGTTGGAACCCTCTGACCCATCACCAGTGACACCAACGGCTTTCCGAGGAAGCAGTTTGCCAGCTCAGCGCAGCGCAGGAACTTCCTGAGCTCGCGCCCATGCTCCCGCAGTAGCCTGGTGGGGCGAAAACGCTGGGTTGGTGCTCAAAGGAAATGAGAGAAAACGTGTTGAAAAGGCTCTGAAACTACTCCCCCCTTGTCGGACAAGAAAAAAAAGCTGATTGATGTTGATGGTTTCTCCACATTCCCAGAAAACCACATTGCCAGAAAAAGAACTGTTTTCCCTTGAGCACTATGTTTTCATGGCTGCGAGCTACTGGAGGTAGTGTAATGTGCTACGACTGGCTCAGTCTAGTCTGCCAAGATGGAATGTACCCCACCCCATTGTCGATGCTGCAGCCAGAAAAAGTGCATCTCCAAGGTCGTCATAATATAGAAATGCTGCGCGCAAATGTGAACGACAACACCCCCACAGCCCCCGACCTCACCCGACCCCACCCCACCCTCAAAAACAAATTCCAGGCGAACGGCTGGGAAGACCCACGACTCAAGTACTCCCTTCTGAGCCCTGCTCATTGCAAGTGCTTTGTTTTCACTTGGTGCTCGTGGTGCGTGCCCTTGATGTTTGCACAAGCAGGCAAACACACGCATATATATATATATATGTACATATACATATACATATGTGTAAGTATGCATGTATACACATATATGTATGTATGTATATGTGCAAATATATACGTATGTAATAAACTATGCATTTAGGCACTTGCAAAGTGTGGACATGCACACTACGCCCTTTATTCCCCAGAACATCCAAGCATCCAGAGAAAAAGCAAAGACAGAGAGAGAGAGGGAGAGAGAGAGAGCGAGAGAGAGAGAGAGAGAGAGAGAGAGAGCGAGCAAGTGAGACAGAGAGAGAGAGAGAGAGAGAGAGAGAGAGAGAGAGAGAGCTGGACACATACCTGTGCATGCACGTGCTTGCGTTTTCACCTGTGTCGGAGCAGGCAGGCGCGGGCGCATGCACAAAAACGACTATTATGTCAAAAAGGAATGCACACATATCAACAATAAGCAAATGAATTCATACATATGTGAAGTGTGAATTCAAAGGAAACTGTTCTAGCAGGATTTCTATATTAAAGAGTTGGCGACGGATGGATGAGAGCTTGCCTCACCAGTCACCGCCGGCAAGGTGGGAAACACCAGAGAGGGGATTTCTTGGGGGAAACTGAACAGCTTTCTGCACCGTTAAATAAGGCAGGGAAGCTGGTGGGAAAACCGCTGGTTACATCATAGGAGCGTTATGGGAAACATCAGGCAGTGAGCGGCCGAAAGCTGAGTGTGCGCCGGGAACAGATTGGGAGAATGCTGGGAGGCATTTCGCTCATCAGCGGGGAATTGTTGAACCTGCACAAATACATACACAGCATGTATAAACATGCACACGTTGCATCTATGCAAGCCTATCTACGCATGCGCATGATGTCAAGCGAAGGCCACCAAGGCCACCAAGCGATGCCAGCCCAAGCGCCTCCGCCGCTCCTCCTCGATGATATGCCGCCGCTTATCCTCATCCTTTCGCAGCTCCTCGTGCTCTTCCCGCTCCTTAGCCCTTGCCAGCTCGTACCTAGCCCAAAGCACAGGCCCGCGAAATTCCAGGAAAAAGCTGACAGGATTGCCTGGCCGTTACTTGGCGGCCTCACAGTAGGCTGGCTTGATCCGCTATGGGGAGCATCTCTCTCTTGACTATGCCACATCACCTCGAGCCCTTTGGGCATGCAACCCCCCCCCTCCCGGCGCACATCTCGCGGCGCAGGTCCACCAAGCGGTCGGCCTCCCTTTTGTGCTGCTCCACCTTCCCGCAAAAACAAAACAAAAGAACTGCAGAAACCCCCCGAATTGAATCTAGAACCCTCGGGCATGGCATCCTAAGAAGGACATTCTCAGGGCCCCGTGAAACGAACATGGTACACATGTCATGCAGTGGCGGCTCAAATGCATCCGAAAGCGCAGCCGCGACTGGCGTTCCACTTCGGACCCTTTTTGGGCCGAGACCCCATAGCCTCCAGGCGTTCCGGAAAGAAAGAAGAAAAACCAAAGTACAATGCTGCCAACCTTAGATTCCTTGCCCGTTGATCTGGCTTCATTGCAGGGTGCATAAGCAGCTGCTGAGTCTGTCAGCCTTCATCCTCTTCTTGTGCTCATTGAGCTGTTCAATTCGGTCATCCTCAGCAAACTTCTTCAGCAGCTCTTCTCGCATGCGGGCCTGGCAGATACGCTCCAATGGAACAAGCCCAAGCCCAAATGCAACTGGAAAGGTGGACAAAGGGTTTTGATACTGCGCCTCCTCCTCGCGAGCTCGGAGCATCTTGTCTTCCTTGGCCCTCATCTGGAAAAGATATGCATTCCTCATCTCCTGGCCGAGTCTGCGATCCAACGACCAGCGCCATGTGCAAACCGGGGGTGGCGTCCTCCTTGTCTTCCAGCTTCTTCCGCATCCTTGGCAGAGCAATTTCCCCAACGAGCGGCTCATGCTTGCCCCCAAAAAAAAATGGCAACCTGGCGTTTCGCGCACAAGTGCAAGCGCTCTGTCCAATAGAGGAACCACGTGCAGGCCCAGGCTCCGCATCTCCTCGCGCCTGCGGGCCTCCGCCTCCAGCTCTTCCAAGTGCAGGTCGTTCCGCAAGAGCTCGAGCTCCTAGGGGCCCTCTCCCTCTCGTGATCTCTCGAAGAGGTGATTCAGGGCTTGATCCTGCATGCTTTCACTCCATCCCCTTTTGCTCTGAAAAAATATGTCAGAAGCTTTCCGAGAAAACCCCGCTTCCAAACCTTGGAAAAGCCTGGCAGTTGCATGTACATTCCAAAGTGGGCAGCCATGACCCGAAAAATGCAGTGCTTCTGCCCGCCTCAAGCCGCGCCCGCACATGCATGCCGCAAAACATGCTGCGACTACAGCGTTGGTATGCCTGTGGGCTTACACCCTCCGTTCGCCTGCGATCCAACTTTTCGTTGGCATTTTCTGAGCCTAGCCCTCAAAGCCCATTCCCGAACAGTGGGAAGAGCCCCCCTGTCCTCGGCTTCTTTGTTCTTGGCCTGTCACGCAGCCCCACGCCACTGGGTTCAACCAGGTCAGCAGGTCGTGCCTCCATCTGACCCAGCATTGCGTTCAGGATGCGCAGCTTCTCCTTTCGATTTGTTAAAAGTGTGGGCCTGCAAGTCAAGGATCAGCTTTTGGCCTCAGAAAAGCTTGAGGCTGATGGTTGTTTTTGCCCGTGAAGTTCTAAATTTTTGTTCTGCCCTCTGGCCAGCCCAGACCCTGAAAGCTCCTTCTCTTTCTCCGCCTTCTCCTGCGCCAGCCTCTCCTGTGGCGGCACACGTCACGCACCAAGCCTCAAAAGCACTTGGGGTCCCACTTGCCTCGCGCTCTCGTTTGTCTTGGGCGTACTTTTCAATGCGCTCGTTCTCAGCCCTCTCTTCAGCTTCCAACTTCTCCTGATTTGCCTTCCTTAGATGCAAATGCGGCGCAACACCTCCAGTGGTCCAGGGAGGCCTTTTGGATTGAACATGGTCGTCTGGTGGGTCAACGATGTCAAGCGGGCACCTCCAAAACAAAAACCGGCCAGGAAGCTGCTCCACCATGAACTGCTGAAGCATGATCCGCGACCTGGGTTAAGGACCGACCACACAAAATGCACCAGAGCCTTTTTATGCGGCCCCGTCCAAGGCCCGCGACTCCTTGTGCAGGCAAGCAGCTCGTGTTGCTTCTCGGCTCGTGCTTTGGCTTCGTTGGCATCTTCTGCCGCGATTTTGGCCACCAGTTGTTCGACTTGGCCACGCTCCTAGCCGCAGGACCCGGAGCTGCACAAAGAGTACATTCGGGATGAACCATCCAGCCTTCATGTATTCTTGAAGCGCCTCATCTCGCTGTGCCTGCATAAGCCAGCAGAAATGCCGGTGCAATCTTCCGGAACATCCCAGCCTCCTTCATGGCAATCTGCTGTTGGTTAATAACTTTGACGCGCTCTCTCTGGCGACGCTTTTCAATGTCCAGCTTGTGCTCCAACTCCTCGGGCAGAGCTAGTGCGGATTGCGGCCGCTTCTCCTTCGACCCCTTCGCAGCCACGAATTCTGCTCCCGTGCCGTGCCTGCTGCTCCAGCCTTTCATCCTCCATATGCTCCGCAAGCAGGTGCTGCGTGATACGGTCCTTCTCTTTCCGCACCTCGCTCCCGAAAGATGAAGCTCAAAGCACAGTGGGAAACTAAAACTTGGCCATGGGTCAAAATCGAAATCGTACCCCCAGTGAACGTCCCAATCCAACCACTGAAATAGGTTCTGAAATGGGTGGAGAATTCACTTACCAACCAAAATGGGATCCCAAAACGGTTTTGACAACCACAGCCACGTCCGCTTCCAGGCCTCAATCTCCAAAAGCTGCTGGGCGCGCTCCTGAGAACCAAACATTCTGGTTGCTCGTCGAGTTCCAATCTTGCAGGCTTGACGTTATGGCAATGGCAACTTCATTTATTTGGCCATGGGGCCACAGCATAAGCGAAAGTGTTTGATTTGGAATTGTAGTTGTGTGTTTTGTTTTTTCTTCTTGCGTGCGTCTTTCTTGCTGCATGTCCTTCCTCCTTCCCTAAATTGTCTGTCTCTCTTTCTGCTCGCTCTTGACAGACATCACCACTCATGGCACATGGCGCAGCAGTCTACCCGCAAAATTATGCACAGGCCAAAGGTCCAAACAAGAAGCTGGCAGTATGTCGCATGAGCTGTACAATTGCCTGGCCTTGTTGACTTTGGCCATGTGCAGCCTTTCTTTCAAGGTCCGCAGCTCTTCGGAACCATCGCAGATCCGCCGGCGGTCCATCCTAGGGCTACAGGCCTGCCACTCAGCAAGAGACCATCTGCAGGCGAGATGCTCACTCCGCATAGTTTCGGCCTTACGCTTGGCCATTTCATCCGCTAGCCTCAGCTGCAAAAAATCACAGCACTTGTGTGCAAACGAGCAGCTCACAGGGCTCTTTGCCAAGCTTCTGCTCTTCGAACTGAGCGATTTGAACTCGCTTGGCTTTGTCTTGCTCGGTCTTCACAAAGCCTAAGGCGACGTCAAAGGCGAAATAGACAAGTGAAGAGGCTGATGCAAGCGTGTAAGTGCCATGTTGTGGCGAGGCTCTGTAGTCCATACAGAGCTCACGCCGTTCAGCAGCCTCCGACAGCGCGCGGCGCTTCTTTTCCACGTTGAGCTCACTCTTACCGTAGCCTGAGCTGACTTCCAAGCTGCATCAGGGACAAAAGGCCCACACACACACACACACACTAGAAGAAGTTCTACGAGGGGGCCTCTGGCAGCCTTTCGGATGGTGACACCTCTCCTCGTTTCAGGGTCCGGCCTGAATAGATGTTGTTCTCCATCAGGCGGCGCCGGAGGTCTAAGTCTTTGGCTTCCTGCTCTCGCCTCGCACCCAAGAAAGGGCCACTCCAAAATGGCAAACCCGGGTCACAGCGGAAGCGCGGGCGGAAGCGAAGGTCGAACCGGTCTCAAAGGTATGGCTCTTTGGTACAGCGAGGGATGTGGGAAGCGTTGCCAAAGGAAGCAGGGTCAAAAGCCTTTGCACAGTTATTGCATATGTGGTGAGCCCCAACCGCCTCTTCAAGCTCTTCCACCAAACGCCAAATCAGCACTCCTCTTGTTCCCCACTTCCCAGCGAAACGGGTGTCGGGCTGGCCGGCCTCTTGACGATGCGCTGCTCCACGAAGCGCTTGGTGCTCGCCATGGCAAACTGACCGGCGGAGGCGGCCGAAATTCAAGAGCAGGTCATTGCCAAGTGCTGAGCCTTGGGCCAAGGGCCAGGGCCGTTGCCGTTGCAACAGCAAATGAGAAAGTGAAGTAGCTGCCCCACTGCAGCTCAAGCAAGTTGGATGTCAGGAAAGGCCACTGATGACAAGGCACCTCCCTCCCCCGGCGAGCATTACCTTTTACTCCTCCTTATTTGTAGTTCTGAAACTTCTGGGAAAAGCATGCAGTTAAGAAGCAACAAATCCGGATAATAGCACATTCCACGACTTCCACAAGGCAAACAGCCGAAAACGCAAGCCAATAGCGAAATCCAACGGGCATTGGATGCCATCGCAAAAAAGGAGAGGATGCCATCGCACTGCGGCGCAAGTCATCCGTACTGGCTGCCAGCAAGGCGGCCCTCGTGTGCCAATGAAACTGCGAGCTTAGCTCGGCAGGGGAAGTCACCTCTTTGAGGGTGCTACCCACGTCTGTTCGGAGGCACTGCAAGGCGCAACTCCGTTCGGAGGCGCATGCCACATTCAAGCCGCTTCACCAAATAGAAGCTGGTAGTCCTGCAAGTCTTCGGCAAGCCCGGGAAGGCGGCTGCGAAGCTTCTGTCCTCCATGCTCCCCAGCGTATTTTTCGGCCTTAACTCCAGATGACTAGGGCAGAGCACGTGGAAACCTTGCTTATGCCCGCCATGTCCCAGAGAGCACTTCAGCAGTGCAAGCGCCCACCACAAGGCTCTGCAGCTCTATCACTACCAATCCGAGCCCAGAGCAGGAACTTCTTAAGCTCTTGCCCATGCTCGCGAAGCAACCTAGCGCAATGAAAGCCACGAAATACGAAAACTAGCACGCATCTTTCTGAGGAAAATGCCGCTTCTTCTCCTCCTCGATGATGATCCGGCGCTGGTCTTCGTCCTTTTTCAGCGCTTCCTGCTCGTCGCGCTCCTTGGCCCTCGCCACCTCGAACCTGCCATGCAAACCATCCTGGACGCTACCTGATCAAAATGGCCCCCCATTGGGGTACGAAAACAAGATGACCCAAGGCCAATCAATGTTTTTGCCGGTGCTTTTCGAACTCCCAAGCCATCTCCAAACATGACGGGGTGCATCTCACGACGCATTTCGATCAGACGCTCTGTCTCGCGCTTGTGTTGCTCAACCTCCGGCAGGCAGGTGCTCATGCCCCAGCAAAAGCAAGCAAACCGTGGAGCAGTCATGGGTGTGTCTGCCTTCAGCCTGCGCTTGTGGTCATTGAGCTGTTCGATCCGGTCATCCTCGGCAAATTTCGACATGAGCTCCTCCCGCAGCTTGGCCTGCGAGCTGTGCTCAGCGCCAGGTCAGGCAGCCACGTTGGATTGGTGCTGGCCTCATCCTCGCGCGCCCGACTCATTTTCTCCTCCTTGGCTTGCATCTGGATGAAGTGGGCATTCCGCATCTCCTGGGAAAGACTGCATAATAAACAGCTGCCGGCGCCGCATTGACAACAAGCCAACGTCCTCTCTGTCTTCCAACTTCTTTCGCATCCTTCCAATCGCCAGCATCAACCGGCTTACACCCGACTCACAGAGGCACATAAGACGCTGCATGCCCCGTCCTCATCTCCTCCACCCTGCGAGCCTCTGCCTGACCCTCTTCAAAGTGCAGATCGTTCCGCAAGAGCTCGAACTCCTGGCGGCATGACGCTCGCCCGGCCGTTCGAAGCTCCAGGCTACATGGATCACTAGTGAGCAGTTGGTTTTTGGCCTGGGGATGGGGGTGAAGGGAGAAGCTATGGGAATTGGCTGCCAGGTGCAACGCATTTTGCAGGCGCTTGGACAGGTGCCATGTGAAAGCCGAGGAAACCAACCAGCTCCTCTGCCGCCTTGTTCTTTGCCTTCCGACAGCTGTGGCAAGCAACCCATGGTGCCTTTTGAAGGCCTCCATCTTGCCCAGCATCGCATTCAGGATTCGGATCTTTTCCTCAAAGCCGCCAATCTGTCCCCACTGAGCCACTGAACTCGCCAGCAATCCAGGCTCCTTCTCTTTCTCCTGCCTCTCCTGTTCCAACCTTTCCTGGGGTCTGGAATTGCGTGCTACGGCGTAGAAAAAACACTCGAGTCATTCGCGCCTCCCGCGCCCGTTTGTCCCGGGCGAATTGCTCGATGCGCTCGTTCTCAGCCCGCTCTTCGGCTTCAGCTTTCTCTTGCTTGGCTTTCCTGAGCCAAAACACAACGCCGCAGTTTCTGCCCGAAGCAAACAGCTTCCAATCAAACCCAGGTGCTGGTCCAGCATGAACTGCTGCAGCATGATCCGGGACCTTGGTGCATATCTTGACCCTAACGCCAGCTGGATCCAACCGGATCCAACCAGATGCGAGATTTTGTTTGGGTCCTGGGATGCCTGCTCCACTTGCTTGTCGGAACGGACCTTGGCTTCCTTGGCGTCTTCTTTGGCGATCTTCTCGACCAGCTCCTCCACTTGCTGGCGCTCCTGAGCACTTTGTGCTTCACTTGGCAACACACGCGCCAGGCTGCTCTCTTGCTCTCTCTCCTAGCCTTGATGTACTCCTGCATGGCCTCCTCACGTTGCGCCTGGCAGGGAGTTTGAGCCATGGGGCTTGGAGTTTCTTCGGTAGGTTACTTCTCTTCCTGTCGTACTCCACACAACTGCATCTTGAATCTTGATCTTTCTCTCGCACAACTGCCATCCCGAATGTCTGCCTCTTTCATGGCTATCTGCTGCTGGTTGATCACCTTGACCCGTTCTCTTTGCTTCTGCTTCTCAATGATCAGCTTGTGCTCCAACTCCTGAGTACCGGTGTGGATCCTCTGAGAAGCATCACGGTGAGGTTTGGTGGGACTTCCACCCTTGTCCAACTTCCCCAGGGTGCGAATCGATCCAAGCCCACGATGATTCGAAGCCCTTGAAAACCCCTCCAAACGGTGTCACATCTCTCATGTTTGTGCACCTTTCACCGCGTGTTCCGCGAGAACGACAATGCGACGTCCTGCTGTTCTAGCCTTTCGTTCTCCATGTGCTCCGTGAGCATGTGGTCAGCTATGCGATTTCTCTCCTTACGGACCTGGCCGGCTTGATCCAGCACTGCTGGATGCAGCCCTCAAAGGAAGCTCACACTTCATCGGATTGGCAAGGCCTAGGTCAGTACTCAAAATGGTGTGCTTCTATTGGCCTCCTTGTTAACAAAGAACTTATCCATTCGAGGAACTTCTCGATATGATGCATGAGAACGCCATGATCTCTGGCACGGGCACGCGCACGCGAGAAACGCTTTCTGCGGAATTGGAGTTTGCAACCAAACATCGCAAGGCTGCGCCTCAATCTCCAAAAGCTGCTGAGCACGCTCCTGTCCGAGGTAACGTGGCGGCCGTGGCGGCCGACTCAACATGACCGGACCACCGTCCCCAGCACAAGGACTTGCTAATGCCAAGAAAGAAGCAAAGGGAATGCCATACGCCAGATGCAGATGAGTGTGCTTACATCCAGCGAGCATCTGGCCTTGTTCACCTTGGCCATGTGGAGTCGCTCTTTCAAGGCTCGCAACTCCTCCGAGCCCTCGCAAATGCGCCGGCGGTCCATCCTCGGCTCAATGTCATGCCGCCTCTATGAGGCCATGGGCCCTTTTCGGCTGGCTGTAGCTCACAAGCTGCTGAGCCTAGCGTCTCGCTGCGCAACTGCTCCGCCTTGCTCTTCGACAGCTGATCGGCCAACCTTGCACTCCGCGCCATTAAAAGGCGCTGACAACCAACCTTTGTCCGAAAACTATCTTTACCTCGCACAAAAACTTCTCAGTGCCCTTCGAACAGCATCCAGTCATCGGCTGAGTGCCACCAACGCACAAGTTCTGCTCAGCAGCTGCTCCTCCAGCATCGTGACTTGAGCGCGCTTCGTCTTCTCCTGCTCTGCCTTCACATAGCCTCGCACAACTGGTGAAATCAGGAGCAGCACAGTGGATATGGAATACTGCGGAACCCACCCGTAAACAAGCCTTCACCTACGCAAGCACAAGCAAGCACAAAGAGATCCGACTAGAACGTCTGCTGCTTTCAGGACAAGGCGAACAGTTAGGTGGCTTGCCATGCTGCAAGCTTGCCAAACAATGCCGTGCAATGCACCGGATCTACTGCTGGCAAGCTGCCGTAGTCTGCCAAAAGCTCCCGGCGCTCAGCACATTCCGAATGTGCTCGACGCTTCTTCTCGACAGAAAGGTCACTCTTGCCGTAGCCTCACAGCCATCTAAAGGCTCAAACAATGTGCGTTTGCATGTTTCGTGTTTGCGCGTTTGTGCTTTGAGGTCCAGTTTAGGTGTTTGTTTGTTGCTGATTGTGTATGTTTGTGGTCGTGTCTTCAATGTTGTGTTTGTGCTTGTGTTTGTGGTCGTGTGCATGTGTGCGTTTGTGCAGGTCCGCGCGCGTGTGGGTGTGCGGGTGTGTGGGCGTGTTGGCGTGCATTCGTGCGTGCATGCGCGTCTGTGTTTGTGTTTGCGCTTGTGCTTGTGGTTGTGGTTGCGTTTGTGTCTCTGTCTCTGTTTCTGTTTCTGTTCGTGTTTGTGCTTGTGCTTTTGCTTGTGCTTGTGTTTGTGCCTGCGCTTGCGCTTTTGCTTGTGTTTGTGTTTGCGTTTGTGCTTGCATTTGTGTTTGTATTTGTGAATGTGTGTTTGTTTATTTTTTCTGTGTGTGTGTTCTTGTGTGTCTGTGTGTGTGCTTCTGTTTGGCGGGCGGCTGCATGCGTGCGTGCGTTGATGCAGTGCGCGCGCATATGCTCTTCACAACAGCTGATTCTTGTTGTCCTTGAGGGAGAGAATAATAGCGTCTCTGCTGGAGCTTCAAATCTCCGTTCGGATGCTCAAAATGCAACGGCCTGCCTGCGTAGATGTTGTTCTCCATCAATCGCCGTCTCAGGTCTGTTGTTCTGGCTTCCTCCTCGCGCCTGATCAAAACATGATAAGGCCACCTTTGTCCATGGAGAACTGGCAATCCCCACCTCTTCAGAATGCGCTGCTCCATACATTGCTTCGTGTTCAACATGGGTAAGATCTACAGTGCACAACTCAACACATCAACCGATCGCTAGCTGAATCTTAGGGATGGGGAGAACCTCCTGCCATTGAGCCAAATGAGCCAAATGAGCCAAATGCGTCAGCGCAATGCCCGCATTGCACACCGAGAAAACAGCTGGCACTCCCTCGCTGCCAGCTGTTTGCAGCAAGCTCATTCACGTCGCAGGTTCGAGGCCAGCGGGCTGTCCCAGGCCTCGCAATGCCTCTTTCATTTGGCAGGCAACTCACTCGCACTCTGCGCACTCTGCGCACTCTGCGCACTCTGCGCAGCGCGCTGCCTCTTGAGGAATGCCTGCAGGTACGGCCGTGAAGCCCAGTCTGGCTACTAAACCTGGCCTTCATCCCCTTCATCTGGCTGCGAGACGCAGCCGAGGAGTTCCTGACCACAGTCAATCTGTGTCACATTGCGGCCCGGCATCGGGGCGGCCATCAAATGTGGATGTGGCTCAAAACTATGCACCAAAATGGCACCTTGGTCAATGGAACCAAAGGCCAGAACCTGACCCTAGCTAACCCTAACTCTAAAATTTTGAGCCACGCCCATGTGTCAAATGCAAAATGTCCGCTTCACACTCAGACGCTGGCCCTTCGGGCTCGGGGCCCGAGGCATCGCCGTCCCAGAACTTCCTTGCGCGAGGGACTAAGAGACACTCCCGCAAACGGGAGGGTGCCTGGAAACACGAAGCTCCGGTTTTTGAAAGGGGCATGGCAAGCACCGGGCCATGTCCAGCCCCTGAGGCACAAGCTCCGGGTCAGCCTGGACTGATTTTAGCCTTTGAAGCTGTCGCCTTGGAGAGAAACCAATGATTCCACCCACGGCCAGAATGGCACCAGACACTCAGCTCGGCACAGGAGCCTGCTCTCCCCAACATCCTCCGAAGCTGAGCCCCTGCCACAAGCCAAAGAAAAGGCGAAAGGCGGAAGTACTGTACCGCCATCAGCCCACCAAGATTCATCATCACAAAATGGCCACATCCTCTCCGAGAGCCATGCACACCGCGGGCCTCTCAGCTGCCGGGGTCTCTAGCCTCAAGCTGCAACTTCACAAAGTCCCAACATCTCACACGCAAAACTTGTGCTGGGCTTTTGCTGCACGGCTACCGGAACGCGTCGAAACTGCCCAATGCTCTCAATCCCGTCGTCTCGCTTCTCTTCTAGACGCTCTCCAAACAGCTGCCGCTCATCCGCATAGAACCGTTCCTGAACGCAAGTGCCAACATGTGCGTACAGGTGCCAAACGTTTAAATGCAATTGCAACACTCTTGGCTTAATGACGAGTAAAACTTGCTTTCCACGGTTGCTTCACATGTCCCAAAAATCAGGAGTTACACGAATCTGTAAGCACTGAGTGCATCTCAAGGCAAGGCTCCAAGAGGCTGCGCTTCTCCTCCCCCGCAGGACCTTTTGGGCAGCTCATGCCCGGCCGATGGTTTGCTTCGATCAGCCAAACGTGCAAGTCCTCATCGAGCATGAAGTCAAATCCAAATCGCTTCCAGGGCTGACGGGTTCTCTCAGGCGACGGCTTTGGCCCTCGCAGCGGGGAGGCTGCGCTCACAATCCTGGAGATCTGCTTCTTGATGGACGGCAACACGTGGTCACCCCACACGTCAGCGTTGCTTCTTGCTAGGTATTTTGAAAACATGCGAGTGGACCACATGCGTTTGCAGACGCCCGGTAGGTTGGATATATGTGCGCCAGCTTCGGAATGCGCATACGGCTCAGCACAAAGATTGATGTAGCCCTCCTCATAGACCCAGATTGATGGCACCTCATCCCAGCGAATGGCTGCTAAAATGCGCAGATTGTACTTGTACAGAGCGCTTGGGGCGTTGCTTGCCTCGCCCATCTGCGCTGGGTCCAGCAAATGGGGCCGCTCCACATACTTCTGGACGATGTAGCCCTGCGCGGCACGGCCACGACACTCCGCCATGGGCAGGCTCGGCGAGCCGCCCAAGTGGAGATCTGTCAGGAGGTGGATGCCCTTGCCATTGGCGCCATCCACAGGCTTCAGCAGCCACCAGTTCTTCCTCAGCAACCCCATCTGCAAAAGCGGGTCGCGATGCGCCGCCTCCAAGATGCAAACCGCTTGCAGAAGAATGGAGTCTCCGCCAGAATAGCATGCAGCCTGTGGCAGAAGCGACTTGCATCCATCCAGGGCAAGCTGAAGCGAAGCCTCATCGTACCTTGCAGAAACGCAGGCAGTGCGTTTCAAATGCATCACGTTTATCATATGGTTGTGTTTCGGATTTTCAATCCATTGGAGAGGGTGTGTATGATGAATGCGTGCGTCTACATGCTCCGGCAAGCTGCTCTCGAGAGGTGCCAGCTTTTGCTGACAACACTTGATCTTGCAAAAGCGCAAGGCTCCGGGAAAGCTCATAATCCTGCCTCGGGACAGAGCGCCAAGATCGCTCGTAGCCACTTGCCACTTACACTACATGTGCCTAGCAACAGGAAGGTCTCGAACTCTGACGTGACGCCAGCTTTCTCCGGCGGCAGGTAATAACTTCGGGGAATGAAGTTCCAATACTCAGCGTCATTACGCGCAACCAGGGCCAGGAGGTGCTTGCCTGGGCGCAAGCAAAACAAGCCCGGAAAAAGCCGAGCCAACACGCTTTGTCGGCACAAGAAGCGCAAACATCCCACGTCCTTGCAGCAAGGCCGCGATGCAGGTCTTGCACCGTCCCTCGGGCACCACTTGCAGCATGCACATGCCCCAGCTCTCCAGTATCCATAGCACCCTCCCCCTGATCGGCGTGCGGGGGCGCTGAGCAAGGCAAAGCGGCGGATTGGCGCAACAGAATTGCACATTCCTTGCAGTGACTGGCAGTTGCTGTCAGTGCTTTGATGACTGCGGACTGAGGTCAGGTCGCGTCCACCTGCAGTCTGCAGCAAACTCGGGATGAACATGCGGAAAACACCCCAGCCTGAAGTGCCAGGCAGAGACCCACCGTCATGCCCAAGACTGCCTCACTTGCATGCGCAGTCAGGCAGAAACGACACAGCGGCACATCCATCCCAATTCCGTCATGGACCTGCCTGCATGAGGGGCGCTCCAGAAATCTCAGCGTCTAACCTCACAATCAAGCAAGAGCCAGCTCTTCACCCCCAGGCCCCCAGGGCGCTGAAGCTTTTAGACTGCGTTTGGGTTTCATGTGCCGGTCTCCCGAGAGCTGGACAAGGGAGCTGGCTGCACATCCCGGCCCAGCTGCCTGGGTCTTCTGCCTCAACACGCAATAATCCTTCTCTGGTTGCAAACGAGGTGTGTGAGGGAATCGGGCTAAAGCACCCAACTGAACTCACAGCCCACCCTGCCTGCCAGGCCAGGGCTAGCGCAGAAGAGGGTGGAGCAAAAGCCCATCACCAAGCACGCCTAAGACTGTGAACTTGCTGGGTGACGGACCGTCAGCTCAAGCGCCCCTGCTGATATCGCAACGCGCAGCGCAGCATTCGCCATGTGCCTGCACGATGGCTCTCAGCCATTTCATTTGGTGTCTGCGTGCTCGGAGCTCCCTGGCCTTCACTCACCGCCCCAGCCTACAACTAACACTACCATTCACGCTGCCTTTCACGCATCGCACTCTGAGACATTGCAAGATGAGCACGCAGTGCTTCAACGGTTCAATGATTGAACCGCAAGGACAGCAAGACCTGGCCTTTCCGCGCCCTCTCACAAGCATACGACAGGGCCTATGTACACTCGCAGCCGCGGCAAAGCGACATCGAGATAAGGGCTTTCTTTTTCGTGCCCCTGCCTGTGCAGAGAGATTGCCATTTCCGGGTACGCCTACATTCAAGTTCCCAACTCGTGCATTTCAAGCACCGAGGGCGGGTTGCAGATTCGATCCAGGAGTTTTGCCGCTAGTTGATCACAGTCTATCAGCTTGGCTCCTCCCATTCCAACCGCGCCAAGAACCTGATAGGCACCAAAGCGATGGGTTTCCGAACAACTCAATGGTGACGGCCTGATCGATATCTGCTTCCGTCAGGTCATGGTCCTGCGAGATGAATTCCAGCACGCGCTCGCGGCTGATCTTTGCCTCGCTAAAAGGGGAAAGGCAGCCAGCAGCCAGCCGTGAGCCCAAAACGAGCGAGCATCAATTTCAGACATGCCGCCCTGTTATTCGCCAGCCTGGCACCAAATCGCTCAACCAATGCCATGAACCGAGGGTCTCCGAATCGGCCTTCGCAAAGACTGCTGGACAGCAGAGACACTGGAGTTCTCCTTGTGCTGGTTTTGGTCCAGGAGATCTGTCAGCCTTTCACACGCAGTGCCAATTACTTCCATGTCTGGTCTTGGCAAGGCGCATTTTCAAGTTCCATTTTGTCCGCTCGGATGGCCGGGCACCGCCTCAGATCCCGTGCATCCAGGTTCAGTGACACTAAAGGAACAGCTGAGGTGCTTGAGGTGAGCTGGCCAACAAGCATAGCATCCAGATCGTCATCGGGCAAACACCAGCCAGCGCACCGCAGGAAGTCCCTGGCCTGCCATGCGGTTGAGAGTGGGTCATCGGGCTACTTGCCAAGCCCCAGGCCTGCTTCTTCCCCAAAGTGCCTTCTTTGTTCACGTCCAGCATTTCGAATGCAACCTTGCCCGCCCACATAACCAACAGCTGTCAAGCCCAGATGCGCACCTTCAGATCGCTTTGGCTTGTCAAAGCCATGGTTGCGTCGATTCCTTGTGGCGCCTTCGCCCCCTTCACCTGGTCATTTGCCTGCGCGGGCGCTCGTCGCACATTGGGCCGGTCGATCCATTCAGCCAACCCCAACATCCCCGCCCAAACGCACAGCACACAACACCAACCTGTGCAAACCTCTGAGGCCAACATACCCACGTGCCCGCTGCGCGCACACACACAACACATGTTGCCACAATGCCATGAATCACTGGAAGCTGCCATGCCTTCCGATATGCATGGTACCCTTGCGAGGTCAGCTTTGATGCATCATTTGTTGCCATGGCTTCCACTCTACGTGCGCAGCTTGGGACACAGCCAAACTGTTTTGATTTTGCCATGTGATCTGCGAGGTTTGCCTTCGTCTCATCGAAATAAGCAGTCATTGCAAGAGCGCGTGTTTGAATGGAGCAATTGTCGAACTGTTGCTGCACTGCAACGGCTTGCGGGTTTCCAAGCCACGGCATCATTCACAACTCCAACTAATCAAGCTGCAAGCGAAACACTGGCTTGTACACGGCGGATGTTTTTGTCCTGGCTTTGCTTTCCCAATTCGGCAGGCGCTAAAATGCCGTATTCAACAGTCTGTTAAAATGCACCTGTTGTACACCAGACCTGTCAACATACTCAACATCACTTTTACCACCCCCATCATCGTGTTCAACACCCTGGCATCACCAGAAGCTTTGGCTTAGGGGTTGGAGTGGGTTTTAGTTTGGTTTAGTGTGGGTTTAGGGTGGATGGGGGATGGGGTTGGTATAGGGTTCGCTTTCGGCTTGGGTTGGTTTAGGTTTGGCGAAGGACTGACTTTGGGTTTTGTTTAAGGTTTGTTTAAGGCAGCAGGTTTGGGGCGGGTTAAAGGGCGGATATGTGGGCTCAGGAGGTGTTTAGTCGGGGCCTTGGCCTTGCCTCTGCTGTTCGCAATTCCGCGCTGGCTTTTTGGGTTTCCTGGGCCGACTGCTTGGCTGTTTTGAATCGCCGCTTGCCCCGTGTTGCGCAAGAGTTTCTTGACCACCTCGACAGCCCCGACCCACAGCCAGCTTGCTTTGCGGCGGCTGCCGCAGCACGTGCAGCACTCGGCCACTCCGACTGGGCTCCCCCGGCGTGGCGGGAGCTGTCTGCTGGTGAGAGCGCGCCCGTGGTGCAGGAGGAGGGGCCTTCCACCTTCCTTCGTGGCTGGCAGGGCCAAGCTGCTGCCGCCGAGGCCCGTCGGCATCGTGAGACCTTGCAGGCGCCGATCCTGCTGCCCAAGCGCTCTTGCACTCCCAGTCCGGGCCTTTCGCTAGCCGTTTCCTCACTACAGTGCCAGTCTCATCAGCCTTGTCCTATCCCTGCCATTTCTTCCGTTCTCCTCCTGCGCCGCCTGCGCCTCCCCTTGCCTCTTGCTGGGCGCACCTGCCGGCGCCGTCGCCTTTTGGACCCCTTCGGCGACCATCGTGCAGCCTGCGCCCGGTCAGGTGTGCTCCGCTGGAGCGTGCGGCCGCACGCGCTTGCAGAGAAGCTGGAGCCAGAGTCACCTCCAACACACGCCTTTGCGGACTTGAACCTTCAAGTTGACCGGGTCGACGATAGGCGGTTGGAGGTCGTGGCCAATGGCCTCCCACTGTGGGGGGGCCAGCAGGGATGGTTAAAGGATTGGTATAAGGATAGTTTTGTTTTTTCCGTGCGCCTTCTTCCGGCATCCAGCAGCCCGTTTGTGTACCTGCGGCCCCCCCGCACATGCTTCGGGGGAAGGCTTTGGGCCCCGGGGGAGGGCGGTTTCGTGCCTCACCTTACTGTGGGGGGGGGGCGCCGAGTCACTGAGCAGCGGGCCATCGAGGTTGCAAGCGTTGGCCGGCACATTGTGGAAGCTGAAGGAATCGGCAAATACGCCGAGCGCCGCACGCGCAAGCACGCTAGACCAGCGAGCGATGGAGCCGCAACAACAGCGACGCGAAGCCAGGGCAAGGCAGAACGTGCAAGTCACGGGCCTCCACCGAGTCCTGGCTCAAGGGCAAAAACAACCAAGCGGTTGCGAGTTGCCAAAGGGGAAGGCCGTTGACCCGCAGAAGCGGGGAGAGAGGCGAAGGCGCTGAAGTAGAAGGGAGCGGAAAGCGCGGCAGGGAGAATCGTCCCGACAATGCCGCATCTTCGCTGGCAACGGTGGCCTGGCGCTGCCACCCGGACCCTGCCGCCACAATAGTGTCGCTGGACGGGCGCAGCGCTTACAACTCGGTGCCACGCGCCGCTTTTGTCGCCAAGCTCAGCGATGTAGCGCCCGCACTCTTGCCGTTCGTGCACGCGTTCTACGCACGCCAGGCTGTGTACTTGTGGCGGGGCGATGATGGCGTCTGCCACCGCATTCAGCAAGGGGATGGATGCGAGCAGGGCTCGAGTGTTAGGTCCTTGCATTGGCCAAAGCCCACCTACCCCAATGCAAGGGATCCAACACTCAAGCAACTCTCTTCTTTTCCTAGCAATGATAGGTGCCACAAGGGGGCCCAAGCCAGCTGCATGCAGCAGCAGGCATGGGCCACCAACCCCCACTGCATGCCAGGTGGCACAAATCATTGCAGGCCCTCAGCATCACTGCGCCGCCCAACCAACGGGCTGTAGGGCCAGCTATCCCATGGCTCGCGCCACACGCGCGTTAAGTCAAGCGATCGCCTGTTACATGCAAGCATGCCTGGCACAGGCTGGCCACGACTTAGTAAGTCGGCCCAAGTGTTGCGTTCGCCGGCGATGTGTGTGCAACTTAACTGCACTCCTTTCTTGTAGCAAAAGAAACCTAACGCCTGCAAGATATAACAAAGTGGCTGCTTCATGGACAGCATTTTCACGGTTCAGTACGTAACTCCCTGGTTATCACACAGCTGCGAGATTTGCAAGATGCATTGCCCAGGCTTTTGTTCACAAGTTTCAGTCTGCAAAATCAAAAGAACCAACTGAGCGAGCGCTTCCAGCGCGCCAAGGCACGATTGCAGGCTTGTGGATTCGGCTGTGCGGAACCACTCGGGCAGATCTGCGCGTGTCAATTGCACAGCAAACCATTGCGCCGTGGCCACGTTCCGCTCCTGCCCCGGCGGTATCCACCACCCACCAATGCCTGCAGTGGTCTCGGTCGCACACGCGTCTGCTGCACAGACCACATTGCCACTCTCACGCACACGCAACGGGATGCCTACCCTTAAGGCGATAGCGTTGCGAAACAATTGCGCCGCTCGGGATGACCGAGCGCATGTGTTTGTGAACTTTGCGCGATAATCCATGAAAACAAGGCTTACATGGCCGTGTCGCACTCGTGGTGTCTGCAATGCTGCGCACTCAACGCTTGACACAGGATTGTTCTTGGCGGAGTGCAAGCGCCAGCCAACCTGTACATCGCAGCTACACGGGGCACTTGTCACAGTCATTTTTGCGTACGCATGAGCCCTTGTGGGGCGCCGCTGCAATGTCAATGTCCCACTCTTCATGGCGCAGTCCGGCAGCTTCTGCTACCAAGTCAATCATGTTCTTGTGACCTGATCCTTGGCGCCTTTGCTGCACCACTACACACGCAGACTCAGACAGAATCCGCTTCCAAGGTAACCAAGCCCACGCTTTGTTTTTACATTGATGCGGGATCACTTGCAGGAAACTCAACGCTGGAAGTGTCTCATTGCACAACGCAACTCCTGGGAAGTTCTTCTCAAATGCCCTAACAAGCAGTTCACGATCACGTACAGCCAAGAATTGGTGGCTCCCACGGCGCCCGGAGGAGGCCCCGCTCGCTGCCACGCGGTCTGCGCCAGTTCAGGCGGCTCGCCCACCGCAACGCGGCTTTCAGGCTCCGAGTCGGAGGCATGGACCGGCTCAGTCCGGAGCTGTGGCATGGGGACGTCCGCGGGCGGCTGCGGGCGCAGCGGGGCGACAGCTGACAGGGGAAGTGGCGTAGGCGGGACAGTGGGACAGCTGCACGTGAGCCGGCCAGCACCGGAAGTGACGTCATGCTCCCACACCCGCAATGCGCCGCAGTCGGGGCACGCTGCGCCCGCCCCCGCTGGCACGCGCACCTCGTCCCAATAAGTGGCACGCGCGCACCGGGGGCACACCCGTGCGCCTTGCCAAGCGGCTACGCCGCTCTCATGGCGCCGAGGGATTGGCGACCAAGGCGCGGCGCGGTGCGCAAGTTCGATGAAATCAGGATCGCTTTGCCAGGGGCCCGCGCGCACGGCTGCCAACCTCCGGCAGCAGTTAACAACGACATGTGCCGGCGCCTGCGGTTCCGGGGCGTCCTGGCCAGTGAAGGTGCGGATCGGGTAGTCCGCGACGCTGGCCTTGTCGGTGCGCCGGTCCGGAAGTTGAGACGGTGGATGAAGGCCCGCCTCGCGGCACCAAGCTGTCAGCTGGTCGTCATGCTCCGGGGCCCACCCGCCAGCTACGCACACTGGGCATGCCCCGTGATGGCACAGAGGACGGGCAACATCGCTGGGGCGGCGCGCTTGGACGCGCAGCTGCGCCAGACAGCCAAGATGGAGGACGTGCTGCGGGCAAACTGGCAGGGGCACCGGGCGTGCAGCGTGATGGCCGTCTGGGCGGAGGGGCTCTAGGCAGACGCAGCAATCGTCTGGTTCCGAGCGCGGCTGCGAATCGTCCGACGGCAAAAGAACGTGAGGCGGTGTGACCGCGGCGGGCTGCGAGGGCGCAGTGGCCCCGTCAAGCAAAGCTTCCTCCGGGCTCTCCCGCGCGCGCCGCCGAGAGGGGGTTGCGCTGCGCGAGCGCCCGGACATGAAGCAGTGGGGAACCACGCAAGCAACGCCGGCCGCGCTGTGAGTCGCGACTATGGCGCCGACGCAGGCGTAAGCGGCAGCCCCCGACTCTACCCAGCCAAGCCGCTCGGGTTGCAGCCAGCGGGAAAAGGAAACTAGTTGAGACTGCAAGTGCCAGTGGGGGCCGGTGGGTGAAAGCTAGGGAGACGCTCTTTTAGCCTCAGGGTAAAGCGCAGCCTCAGTTGCGAGCCGGAGGAAGGCTGGGAAACACAGAGGGCTGCCTGCCGAACAGTGAGCCTTACCCGAAAAGAGGCGGGCAGAAATCAAGACACCGCCAAGCTGCTGACACAACACCCTAGCAAGTCGGCGATTTGGGCGGGCCTTAGTACCGCGAACCAGGAGCCGAGGCGGCTAGCCGGGCGACTCCTGAGAAAAGCGACAAAGTGTGCTTGCTGGTGCCAAAGCAGGCCAGGCAGCGAGCAGGCCCCGGGGTGCCAGCGAGTATCCGATTTTTTCCGCGCGCGCGCGCGCCTTTTTCCGCAGTGGCTTCAACGTGTTTCAGGGAGGATTTTAAGGGGCGCCTCCGGGCA